GACACATTGCAGGGCCGCCCCAATGCTGAGTTAGTTTGACCGTTTCAAAATAGTAACTGAATGTTTCATTTGGCATGTCGGCCAATTCGTTTTAAACATAAGGCTCGCAACGCTCGCAAACCTGGTTTCTTTGCTCTAAGAAATGTTTTTTGCTACACTGGGGACTCGAAACGCGTGAGCCTTGTTTGCCTTTGATTTGTTTCTTCTAAGACATCTCCAAAGGCTTTCCTGTACGTCCTCTTTGGCGGTTTGAAACATCACTCTTCGGGCAAATCTAAAGAGAGTTTCAGTTCGGTGGGGCTATAGATTCGTCCGAGAGGTTCTTGAATTAAGATATGAAGGGGAAGACCTTCTGGTCTGTTGATCTCCGCGAAAGTTCCGCGACAGTGTTTTTGTCGCGCACGTTTTGTGTAGCGGAGGCTTGCTAGCAGGAACCTGGAATGATGAACCATGTGTACTTGCCGGCAGCGCGCCTGAGGAATGCGCCGCTGCGGAAGCAACCCCCAGCAGAAATCAGCTTGTGGCAGTTTTGAAGCTTTTGGGTCGAGTTGAGTGCAACTGTCCAGCGGGATTTTTGCCAAAGTTTGGCGTAAGTCCACGAAAGTGTCGCGAAAGCCGATGGCCCGCCGACATGGTTGGCCAAAGGGTGCCCTCGTGTGCCGCCGCATGGCTTGTGAGCTGGGGATGCGGAAGCGCGCTTCGCGTGCTACTTTGGCACTGAAAGGTTGCAACTTTGGAGCTGGGGCTGCGGAGGTTTAATGAAGTCCTGGAGATTCAAACATCAAGGAATTCCTAGTCATTCTCGGCATTGACCCTGTTTTGGACGCAAACGCCCGCAAACTACCGCAAACGCCAAGAAACAGGACACGCCCGCAAATTGCCGCAAAACGCCCGCAAAAAAGGGGCAAACGCCCGCAAAAAAGCGCAAAAACAAAACAAAACGCCTAAAACGCCTTGAGAACCAGAACGCCTAGGAATTCCTCGGCATTGGAATCTCCAGGATTACGTTAAGATCCACGAAAGGTGAAAAGTTTCAACTTTCGAGCCGTGGCTGCGGAAGTTTAGTTTTGCGAGCTCGTGCCGCTAGCAGGTGGTGTGGCCTGAGCTGGCCTTTCAGTTAGCGGGCTGGCAACTGACGAGGCCCTCCTTCATCGACCCTATTTTAAGTGTTAGTTTCGGGTGCTAGAAGCCGCCCCCGGCGCGTGTGCTTTAGAAGCCGCCGCCCTACAACAAGAGCGGCCAGCTTTGAGAGCGCGTGGCCGTGGGCGAAGCAACGCGCGGAAATTGTTTTGGCTGATGGTCGGGGTGGTTGCGGTCACGATGGCACGGAGCGTAAGGATGTGATTTACGCAATTTCTGGAGAGATTGAGAGTGTCCGCGCTGGGCCAACCGATTGCAGCTTCATGTTTCGCGGTGGCTGGAGACAGCCTAGCTAGATCTTGGCAAGTTGCGGCCGGTTGGAGCGAGGCTGCCTTGTTCATGGTTCGTGGCGGTTATGAGGCCACCTGGCCACATTTTAAGATTAGGTGCTGAGGGCGAGGTTTAATCTTTTGAGGCCGCATGCTGGTTTCAGGCAGTCTTGTTCATGTTTTGCATAGCTGATGATGATTTTGAGGCCGAGTTTTTTTTGCTCTTTCCCATCGCTCCGGGGCCTTCTGAAGTGGTGTTATGATTTTCCATGGTTTGAGGCCGCGGACGTTTTTGCAGTGGTAGGCGGTGTGGCCGCATTCTGACAAGTTTGAGGCGGAGGTTTGAGGCGCTTTCCCCCGCGCTGGGCGTTTTTGGTTGGGTGTGAGCTTCCGTTGCTTGAGGCCGAACTGATGCTGGCTTCAGGCAATCTTGTTCGGGTTTGGCAGAGCTGCTGATGATTTTGAGGCTGCTCGTGTACCACGACTTTCAAGCCGGGCTGGGGAAGTTTACTTTGTGTACTACCTTCGTTCGGCAAAGTTGCGACGTTCGAGCTGGGGCTGGGCAAGTGTACTCTGTGTACTACTTAAGTGATGAATGTTGTGAAAACAGCCCGCAAAAGTTCCGCGACGGGGCTTGCGAAAGATTGTTTTTGCGCGAAGACGGCAGTTTCCAGAACAAAGGGTTTCATAGAAATATATATATATATATACACACTTACACATGTTTATACACTGAACTCGGTTGTCACCTTGACATGAACCCGAAAAAGGGGGGGCCCCTGGCGTTTGCATGTCCGGGCGTCCATGCTCAGGCAGCGGCGCCTGCGAATCTGCCACTCCGACAGCCTTGCCTGCGAGGTGACGGAGTCAAGCAACTCGTCAGCTTCATGTGTCCTCTTCGGCGGGAATTGTTGTTTTGGTGTGCTGCGCGGTGTTTGTTTGCCTTGTCCGGCGGCGTGATCCGCAGGCGGTCCCAAAGAACATTGCTGCCACCATCATGTTTCTTGCTTGACCTAGCAAGCATCGATTGCCCAAACTGCCTTTTGTCTCATCTCACAAGATGCAGCCAACAAGGCAGCCCTTTGCGACGACGCCGCCAAATGACTTGACTGCTATTGGGTTGGATCTTTAGATTTTTTGGGAAATAATGGTGTTTTCCACTAAACCCCCAAAAAGTGAAAACCTTTTTGCAGGGGGGTCAACAGCCCACCAAGGATCTAATGAAGTGATCGAGATAAGCAACACCAGCTTGGGTCAGCAGGTATGCAGTGCAGGTGCCGAGCACGGGGCCTTTAAAGGCCTCCACTGGCTTCAGGGCTGGTTGACCTGCCACTGTTAAATGTGGGTCAAAAATAGGTCAAGCAGCCCACTGTGAAATGCCTTCCCCGTTTTGGGAACCCTGGCAAATCGAACCAAAGACTAAAACCTGCGGTCCCCTGGGGGTTTAATTTTGACCCATACCCATAAATGGTTTGTTGGTTGTTTTTTGTTGGCGCTTCGCAACCTAGGGGGCGGCGGAAACACGAAAGATCACGCCATGAAAGATTGGGTGGGTTCGTGTTTTCACCTTCCTTGTGCCCAAATCCACCCCTGTTTTGTCTCAAGATGTTGTGTGGTTGCGTTCTCCTAGAACATTCGATGTTGGTTGAGATAACATGGCTCCGATTCAAAGCATTTTGGCCTCACTCTTTGTCAGGTTCTCGTAGGAATAGGACATAGGACCATGTCAACAAGTTCCCTTCGGCTGAAACGTTACTTTGGATTCATCAACATACTGTAGGTTTCTTGCAATCAACTTCCGTCATCAGGATCCGAACGGAGCGAATACAAGCGTATCAGTTAGCAGTATGATATGCTCGGAATTCCACGTAAACACTCCTTGTTTCTCGGGATAATGCATATATCTCGCAAGCAGTCGCAACATGCCCTGCAAAACTGGTTTGTATCAAAGGCACGGGGGCCCATGCATTCAAGTGAGAACACGTCCTCCGGGGTGGGAGTATTCTATATCCAATCAATAATATATATATATATATGCATATTCACCTGCTCAATTCGAGACAGGTCTCAACAAAGATATGTTGCAAAGAACGGACAGCAAGCCTTGAAGAAGGTTGCTGCCCCCATGATGACCTACTGAATGAAGGCCTCCCTGCATTCTGATCTCATGTTGGAAGGGAATACAGGCGCAAGCTTCATGCCAGCCTCCTTTTTATGGACCCGCCTTGGCAAATCATGTCTCAAGTTACAACCTGTCGGCAACCATTCAGAAAACGGTCTTCAGACGAACAACACCTGGTGTCTCACTGCTTGATGATTTTTCCGCCTGCAAGCTGCATGCGATGGACCTGTGAACAAGGACAAACACTCAGAGACGCAACCAACGTTGTGTTGCAAGCAGATCCAGCAAAGCAAAGCTGTTGGACAACGCGTGGTTGGACGCGGTGTGTGGTATGTCTTGTGACGGCTGGCTGGCGGAAGGGGTTGCAAAGGGATACGCCGAGGCGCTCGTCGCTCTGAGTCTCAGCTCGACTTGACTCGTCTCGCGCGAAAAGAAGGCGCCTGGCCCAAACTATCCTCAACTCGGTTCCTGAGTTCATGGACTTGTAGTCACTTTTCGGACTTGGACCCGGGCTTGGACCACAGTGGCACTTTTGTTTGGTGCCATCCACGGAAAGGAGATCCTGGATAATTCAACCCATGGGGCAATTGCCCATGGTCTGAGATCGTTTTTCGCAGCCCCGAGAAGCCAGCCGGCACACGTATGGATCTGGAAGCAAGCCATTGGACCGTTTACAAATCTAGTGGAACATATCTGGTAACCACTGCTGGCTCACTGCACCGGAGAATCTCATTGGGACTGTGAGTTAGCTGCTTTGAGCCTTTCAATTCGAAGCGGGGATGCACGCGGCTCCGCACTTCCTCGGTGCATCTTGCACGAGGAAGCCAACAGAGAACCGCATTGTGGGCGAAAAACATGCTTGCGATTGGCGCTGGACCCTCAAAAACTATATTTTCTCGTCCAAAATTTGCCGTTGCGCTTTAGCTGAGATGCCACAACTACCTTTCGTTATCAGGTTCTTTGCGCGGAAATCTTAGTCGTTGGGCTTGGAGGCCGCGGTGGCATGTGTGCCAAAGCCAGGGCCTTTGTGGACTAATCACAGGAGGGACTTCACAGGGAACTGCCAGTGTTACAAAGGACATTTGGGAAGGCTGTGCGAAGTACGGCTTGAATTCGCCTGAGGAAGCATACCAGTCTTTGCATAAGCAGTCAATCAAGGGTAAGGGCCGTGCCAAGCATAGGTCCGGATCGCTGCCAGGGCGCCCGCCCCCCATCGCCTCTCTGGAGATCTCTGCAGGTAGCCTGTGACAATATCTTTCTTAAGTGACTCTTCTTAGGAGTAGACTCGGAAATGGCTGTGGGTCAAAACCAATGGTACCATTTTGGGCTAGGTGCACCACCCATTTTTGTCTACTTTAGTTGGGATTGGGATGTTCACTGGGGGTACGATTTGGATTTTGACCCATGGCCAAATGTGTGATTTGATCAGACCGACCGCCGACATTTCCTGTTCGCATGCCTGTACTCAGGTGCTCCCATGTGGGTCACGTTTGGAGATCTCATCGCTACTGGTCCCAGCAGGCGGCCTTGCTACAGCCGAGTCGAATCAACACTGACCTACTCCTGTGCAACATGACATGCAACCCAAAGAAAAGTCACAGGTGATTCCTGTAAACGTGACTTTGCCCTGGGGTCCAAACCACCATTACGATAATCAATGGGGGTTCATACAACCACCATTATTTACCTAAGGATTATGCAAATTGGATCAACCATTCTTTTAATGGGGGTTGAACCCCAGGGTTTGGGGCTTACATGTTTGTCTACAGGGGAGTATTTGTGACATATAGCCAAAACTTAAAACAGTCGTTGAGTTGCTCCTCCTAGGGTTGCCACTTGTTGTGGGATCTGTGTTGTCACTGCCACATTGTGGCATGCTTTTGTTGCTGTATAAATGTGTGCGGACCGTGCAATAAGAGGTATCACCAGCTCCCGGGAGTTGCGCATGAAATCCTATGTCAAAGTTTCTTTGATGCTACTAATATCAGGTGTTTGTGTTGATTTAGCACTGTTCAAGAACGACGTCGTTGGCCAATGTTTGCCAAGTCCTGATTCAAGCAAATTGAGACCATCGACAGCATGCAAAGGACATTCATTCCCTTGCCTGATATAGTTGTCGAACTTTGCTCTTAGGTATTTTGCTTGCACAGGTTCTTGGCTGTGTTGGCTCTTCACATCAGGTCTACGAGATCGACACCAATGAAGTGGTGCGCAACAGGCCCGACATTCTGGGCGAGTTTCGGCGGAGTCAGGTTTCATCACAATCACACCGCGGGTACCTGAAGGTTAGTAAGGGACAGCCCCAGCCGGAAATACAGTAATTACGGCCGCCTTTTCAATGCCTTACATGGTTCTGGGTTCACGATTTTTGTACCAGGTTTTGATACTGACTCAGGTTTCATCACCGCAACCACATTCCTTTGTGACAAGGCAAGTGGCGCGGGGGTCCAATCCTTGTTCTCAGCTTGGCAATAGTTTTCAGGTCCAACTGTATTTCTTGTTTTGAATCAATCATTGGTTGTCTCGACGGCGACTCGGTTGTGGAAAGTCTCTGTGTAAGAATAAGATTGTCTCAGTGACATCTACCTACGTCTCAGCATGTGTGAATGTGCCCAAAGCCTGCACCGCTGTGCCCCTCTGGTTTGGCGGCACTGCAAAACTGCCAACTTGCAGTGATTTGGACTTCAAGGCTTATCACGCCCGTTTTCTGGCTGGTCAGTCTGCGCCGGCCTTGGGTTTTGCAGTTGGTTCCAACACCCGCAACCGCGGGTTTCAGCGGCTTTCGGAGTCCGCACTCCAGGAGTTACCAAGATTTGCACAGAGGCCCTGTTATGGCTGTTGTGCGGAGGGACTAGGTGTACCGGGAATGGTCATCGGGATCAATCAAAGCGTTAGTGAGAAGTGACCATCCACGTGAATGTAAACTTATTGTTAAATGGCGCCGCATGTTGCAGCTGTGTGCTCAGCAAATGGACAAGAATGTGTGGAGCTAGTTTGTTTGAAGTGTGTGCTTCGATTCAGAGACAGACCCATACACAACAGTATTCAAAGTAGATTGCGTTGTGGTGCCTGCTGTTGTGCATTTATTTGTTGCAGCTGAGCCCTGCTGCTGTTGCTATGTAACTATTTCGGCATTCTCATAGCAGAATCTGCAGCCATTTTTTGACACTGCACGTGTTCGGGTCCCCAAAAAGCACGCCTCCCATGTGTTTCACGGTTGCTGCTGATGCAGTCGTGAGAGACGGGTGGCCGCTGCAGTACCACGTCTACCCTCCAGTCACAGTCATATCTGGGCGGTTTTGAAAATACCATCTAAGAGGGAGTCCACCCTTTTGAGAAGCTCCCATATTATGTTTGATAGCTTGGTGTGCTCTAGCTGAGGGCTTGTTTCAGCAATGCCAGCAGTTTTCATCGCATGGTGTTTGTGATGGACACCAGTTTCTGACAGAACATGAGTTGATTGTTCTGGGGTCCCACTCTTGGACTCTTGGCACGGGATAGGTTGCGAGTGGCTGAAGTTTGGATGGACGAGTACAAGGCGCCAGGAGCCCCATGGCCTTGGTTTCACTAGGCTCAAAGAGGTGGAAGAACTTATGCATACGAGGGAAAAAGCGAGCTCATCCAGACCTTTGACCGGAATTCGGTGTTTCCAGTTGTTTGTGCATCTCTGAGAATGGACGAGCCGCTTGAAAAACCAGTCTGGCTGACTACACTCCCGAATGAACCAAACCCGAGGTCAGCCGGCCTTTTTCGAGAGAACTTCGGAGCTTGAAAGGGCCGGCAGCAAGCAGTAGACTCACAATGCTGAAGCAGGCATTGGGTGATGCACCTTGCTGTTGCCCTGTTGACCTCACAAACCCTGCTGGTTGCACGTGATAGAACATTGGTGCCACAACCCTGCCACTGTGAGGGTCTGGAGGCAATATGTAGCTTGCTTCGCGGGCATGAGGCTGGTGCACTTGGCGGGTCCTCGTCTTTTGCGCGATCGCACCATTGGAGATGTCCGGGGACCCAGTTGGTGCCAGGCCGGGGATCTGGTTGAACAGCACAACGATAACTTCGGATTAATCCGGAGGTCTCCACTGGTGAATGGAACCCTCCAAAATAGACAATTTCCTCGCGAAAACGAAAGGAGCCAAGTATGCTCCTCCGGATCAGTCGGATTTGGAGATTACAGCGCATGTGTCAAGTTGAAGCACTTCTTGTATCCGAGTTCGGCTAGCTGACCCTGGCCATCAACATCTTTGAGACAAGTCAGTTGTGTGCTGAAGTCTTAATGGTTATTTTTGCGGCTTTGGCACTTCAAGCTTGAACTATGGCGTCATTCCAAGCAACGCCTTGCTGAAACAAAACGCTGAGGTACATAGCAACGGACGAGCACAAAAGATAATGCCAGGTCAGAGATTGCACGGGCATGATGCGGGCCCTGACTCACCTAATTGCCCTGGTGTGGTTTCTGGATGTTCCAGTCTACGTCTTAGAGCAGCTTTGTGGAAATTGTTCTATGATGTTATTTGAACAGCCTTGCTCATGGTTCAGTACCGATCTTGCAAACACAATCCCAGCATACGACCCACCTAGTGGACTTGTTAAGCAAAGTCCTGCAACATGTAGCTGGTAATTTCCGTGAGTGGGCCCATCCACCCGATGTGGCTTGCTGGTAGCCTCCCCTCCTCGACGTTCTGTGGACCATGTTCCCCCATAAGACAATTGTCCAGTTGCTGCAACTTCCACAGCACAAAATTTGGCAGGGTACTGAACACCGCGGATAGCTTGTTTCAATTGTGCAGACTCGATGTTTGTGGTTTTACTTGATCCTGTCCAAAGAAAGATGGGAGATACCAACACCACAATGGTAGCCCATGGCTTTTTGCTCCTCTAAGTATTCTTGAGGTAGCTGTGGCAACTTGGACCCCCAATCCCGTTGCTTAGGTCACAACTCGCAAGGCTCTGCGGGAGAGGCTGGGGTCTGGTTTGGGTTTCTGTGGGTGAAATCTCTTTTCAAGTTGGTACTAAGACCCCATCTTTGTGGCTTCAAAGGGAAGCCAACAGGAAACCAACGTGTTTTTTCGTTTTTGCGGGGGGTCCCCTAAAGAAGGCACACTCGTGGTTTTCTGGTTGTGTGCGTTGGCGTTGATATTTTTGCAGACTCAGTCAACAGTGGTCTCGGGATATCGATTAAGTGACACTCGTTGGTAAGTGTGTTTTGCTCGGAAAGTCAGGGCTTCTTGCATATTTCCTTTCAGAAGGATCTAAATTGTGATCGATCGGTCAGTCAATGGGAAGGGACGGGCGCCTCAAATTACCCTAGCTGGGAAATGTGACTGCAATACCTCCCCAGTTGCCCATGAACTGCCTTTTTTATTTTATTTTTGGGGACGGTTCCCTTTACACTCAACCAACCAAAAGAAGGATGGGTTTTTTCCTCCCTAGCCACTGGGCATCTGAGCTTTGCTTCATGGTTGAAGGTTGGGCTGCAAGACTTTCGACTGGTACCTGGACAATGTGGCCACGGAGGCCGGAGCCTTGTGCAGTGCGCCATGGGTTGAACCAGTTCCTTTTGCTCAAGAATATATATATATATCATAATTTTCCCTTGTTGGTTTTAAAAGGAATTTATCACCACTGGACACATTTTGTTTTCCAGGGGTCTTAACCAAATCGAAGGCCAGGATCGGTCAACCAATCCTGCGCGAAATGTCCCACTTGGCCATGAACCACATAACTCCTATGGCTATCCCATTTTGGGGTGGATGAACCTCCCATTCGCCCACCTCTTTTGATGTCCACCAGGGGTACAGATTTGGTCTTGACACCCACGGCCACCTGCAAAAAAACCGGCGCACACGTTTTCAAACAGTTGCCGGGAACGGCTCAGTCGCCGTCGCCTGCAGAGACGAGACTGGGGGACCACTTTTGGATAGGTTCAGACGAGTGCTAAGAGCAAAGTGGTACCCGTCTTTGGACGCCGAGATTAAACCCATGCAGCTTTTATCGCTCTCAGGGGAGACACCGATTCGTTTTTTTGGGTTTGGTGGGCTCGGGACTGGGACAAAACGCCTCCAGAAAGGGTTTCTTTTGGGACCTGAAAGGAGGGCCGTGTGAAAGACACGAGCGAGAACATGCTACGAGTTATCCAACAAAAAGCGTGCATGTGCAGATCTACGCACCGCGACTCTCGCCCGTAGATGCTGGCACAGGCGGGCTGGGTGTGGAGAGGGGATGGGCCGGGGGGTGTACTGAGAGGAGAACAACAACACCTCACTCCCTGAGTTCCTGGACGAGATACTTTCTGGGCTTCTGGGACGACCATCTTAGTGGCAAAAGAACACTTTGGACTTTTGTGGGCCCAGCCACTCAGGGAGTGAGACACTAGATTCCATGGCTCGAGAGCAAGTTTGGCAAACTTGGGTTTAATGCTATTCATCCCAGTGCTTCCAGTTGCCCAGTAGGTAACCCAAAGGAACCGTGTTGTAAAACCTAGAGGTAAGAAGCCCTGGTTGCCCTCTATAGTGGCTTGCCTGGAAGCACTGGGTGTCACACATTTTCTCAGAAGAGAAATTACTTGTCATGGTCTTCCCGGCTTGGGGTTGGGATGTTGGATCATGAACCCCTCATTCTGCCTTCTTCAGAGTATTCATCAGAACAGCTCATCCTTTTCAAAGGCAGTTGCCTCCCTTTTTGGCAACTGGGGTTTTAATCGACAGCACCTGCGGACAGCTTAGGGGCCCAGGCAACCCAACATGGTTTAAAGACGATTCCAGCCAGATCGCATCCGAACGGACCCCATTTAGCTGGAACCCATTCAGGCTTACCCACATAGCGGACCAGTCACCCTTTGTACCCTGCAACATTGAACCCCACACATGGTGCCTCCGTGTTGTTTTCCGTAGAATAACATGTGTTTGTTTCTTGTCCGGATTATCCTGCATCCGCAGCTGAAGGTAGCCTGCGCAGCCTGATTCTCAGCCAGAAGAGACCCTGAGAGAATCCAATTCCTTTAGTTTCAGCTGGGGGCGGTAAATATTTGGGACGCGGCGGGAAGAGGATGTCGTTTTGCATTGTGTCTCAAGCTTGTTGGGCCACCATTTGATGGCGGAAAGAACCGAAGCGGGGGCATGAAACAGAGAGACGTGTTGGAAGTTCATGTTGAAGACGCGCGCTGGTTAAAGAATAACATGACTTAGCACTTCAATCCAATTGATTGGAGCTGTTCAGCATGTTACGCCCTGACGAACCAATTCACAAGGCACCTCCTACGCCACCAGAGGAGGGCTGGCTTGAGATAGATGTTAGGAGTCTGGAGACAAGCGATCTGACGTCGGGAAGATGACATTATGCCACCATGTGTTGTTTGATCCAGCTGTTGCGCAAGCTGATCTCAGCATAGCCAGTTCTTCGCATCGTTGTATTTGTCCCAGCTAAGGCATCAACAACCAGGCCTGCGTGGATACGCGCATGCAGGAGCGCAATTGTTGTTTTTGCGGTCGCCGTTTCAGCACGGATTCTCTCAGAACTAGGGATGGGCAATTCCCCCCAAAAAGAGACCAGGGTTCGGGACCCTACTAAAATCAACTACAGAAAAAAGTGTACCCTTATTCTATCCTCTCTACTGGAGCACCTAGGAGAGGACAGCCACTCAGCTTCCAGGACATGAAGGGCGCCCCCATGGGCGCCGCGCCCTGTCAGAACAGCTTTGGCAACCAGGCGAGCGCGGGGACGGCTTTGTTGCTTTCCGCAGTTCAACTGGGACATTTGTTGACTCGATGTTAAGTTGTAGGCTTCACTGCGCATCAAAGTCAGACATAATGTTCATTTTAGTTGGTTAAAGAGAACCTTGTGGTGTACAGAGTGGGCGTTAGAGCTTCGGTGCAGCTTGATGATGCGACAGGGTCAAGATGGAGAAGGGGACCGGAAGAGAACATGTTACAATGTGTTGGGCACGGCTGGGAAGACGTTCATGATAGACACCAACTTGGAGTGAGAGACAGTCAATAGCAGACGTGTCAAGCTTGGATGGCTTGATCGGCATGCTGACACTGATGTGGGGTTGCCCTTGGATAGATCCTTGTTGTATGAAACTGGCACCACCCGTATATTGTGGTACCAGGTAGGTGTACATCAAGCAAGTCAACGGGAATGCTGTCAGATCTATGTAGAGCGCACCTGACCGAACCAACGGAACGACTGACTATCTGACTACTGAACTAATCCTTTTTATGCCTAGGGCAGCCACCTTGAGAAGTTTAGTTGCAAAGCCAGCAAATGCTGCAAGGAGATGTCGGTGCAAATTCCAGCAGACCTTTTGTTTGTGGTGAGCCACCAACCAAGTTGGCTAGTGCTGCCGTTCATTGCCGACAACCAAGATTCGGACGACACCCTGTGAATACTTGATAAACCACCGAGTGCGAGAAGTGTTATCCACCGCAATTAACTGCACTGTTCAAGATCTGCGGGCTCAGCCCGGAAAGGGGCCAGCGGCCTTTGTCAGCGAGCAATGGCTAGTTATGCTCAAGTCTTCACGCCCATTCCTCTGCTTCATTTCAAGAAGGCAATGCCAAAATACGACGCAGCCCGTAGTTTTCTTTCTTGGTCGGCAATTTGTTGCTTGGAATGTCGCGATGTTGGCATCGGTCTTTGTTTGAACTGAACGATGTGGGTGGCCTGCAAATCGATGGTTCATTTCCTGGCAGGAGGTGCGAATCGAGACTGGTGGTCTCGTGAGGCTGGATCGCAGATTTTTGTACTCACTCCCTGAGTCTTTGAATTGGAGTTTATACTTTTGGGCAAACCATTCTGGAGGTAAACAACACTTCAGACTGTTTCTTGTGCCAATCCACTCAAGAAAAGGAGTTGTTGGTTTGCGTTGCCCTGTACAGCTTAGGATCGTTGTTTCAGGCAACTAAGCGATCTCCTTCAATGAACTATAGAAGCCCTAAGCTCTTGGTCTTTAGTCATCTTTTGGGTTTGGATCATATGAATGGCACACCCAGTGCCTCCAGGCAATCCACTACAGCAGGCACCCAGGTTTCTTACCTCTAGGTTTTACGTCATGGTTTCCCTTGCTGACCTACTGGCGAAACGCCTGGAAGCACTGGCTGAAAAGTTTGGGGACTTGTTTCGGCCAGTCCGCTCGATAGGAATTGGAGACTGGTTGTCAAGCTTCCAGGGTTCACAGTGATGGCAAACGACCCGCGACAGGCTGCCATTTACCGGCTTTTGCATGGTGCCTGCCAAGGACGGGCCTGGGTATTGGCGGGGGTTCTTTTGTTCAACTGAGCCACGCTTAAACTAAGCCGATGCGGGTAGATAAAGGGGAGAATGCCAAACCACAAATGGATGCCTTCGCCTTCATTTTAATTCTTTACATGATTCTGGGATTACAACCATTTGAGTACCAGGTTTTGACGAGGACGGCTCCGTTGATTCCTCCAAAGCCGGCTGCTTGACCTCTTTGGCGGAATCTGTGCTCAACAAGTTGAAGCGTCCGGATGAAACGCTTGGGGTTTGGAGCAGAATCAAAATCTGGCTGTGTCCGCACGTTTGGCTGAGAAGGCATTCTTCCGCTCAATGACCAAGCAACTTGGAGGTTGCTGGTGACCAAAGTTGGAAAAGCATGATACGTCTGACCATTCAATGCTCAGCTCTTGCGTGCGTTTGGTTCTTGGTGAGACTTTCTAAGCTTGCTGTTTCAGGTCCACAGCCGCAGGGCTGTTCAAATCACACCAGTTTGTCCAGCTTCTTCTCCTCACGCCACTCGAATGTGTTTTCCTGCACTTCCTCTTGGCTGACAAGCGGCTGATTTGATCTGATCCATCTGAGAATCCAAAATGCCAAGCTTGGAGGTGTTTAATTTCCTTTTCACAGGGCTTCTTTGGTTTGGTCATCCATTTCTTGGCATCGCCCCCCCCTTTTCCAAGATACCCAGGGTTTCGCGGCCCTTTTCAGGGCCCCCTTTTGCCCCCGCCCCCAAACAGGACTGCGGCAAGGTGAAGGAGGACGCCGACAGTTTGGGACGGCACAAGGTAGTGCTCTTCTTTGCTGCAATTTGCTGGGATGTTAGGACTGAACAACTTTTTGCCAACTAATGGGTTTTCCATTAAACCACTAAAAGTTAAGCTTTTAGCAGGGGAGCAGAAAGCAACCGAGGCTTGTCTTTTTTGCATCGGAGCTTTGAACTTTGAATTTGTAGGGTTGAAACAGGGTGGATTTTCCGGGTTGGACAATGAAAAAGCTGGGTGTTCTTTTTGGGAGAGGGGTCTCGCCAGCAACTAAGAAACGTACAGAGCTCTTCCTTTGTGTTTCTGGTCTTGCTTTTATTGGGGTGGAACCGTTTGGTATGTGCTTTATTAACCAGGCTCCCGCCTGCTGCCGCCGACCCTCGGCGCATTAAGGGAAAAGTCACAAGGACCGGTCCTGAAACACGTCCGCAAACCCAGAGACCACTTATAAGACCCTCTACGACCACAAACAAGGATTAACGGAAAAGTCAGAAATATGGCAGCTAGTCCGTTAATTACCGCTTGGGCCGGCTTGCGCCCAAGTCACTTCGAGTTGGCCCGGGAGCAGTCGCCTCTCCCGGGGTCGCCCGGAAACTGGCCCTCCCGAAGTTGCCCTGGACCGGTCGCCGGCAGGGACCGGGACTTGGGACCCTGTCCAGGCTGGTCCCAGTCTGGCGCGGTTTGACTCGACGTATTGGACTCTCTTGCAGAATAGATCCAGGGATCCTCTACTACCACAAGGATTAACGGAAAAGTCAGACAGATGGCAGCTCGTCCATCAATAACCGCACGGGCCGGCTTGTGCCCAAGTCATGTTGAGCTGGACCTGGGACCCTGTCCAGTGTCCTGAAACACGGGTGCCAGTCCGGAAAGGTGTCTGGAGCGGTTTGAGGTGGCATCACAGCAGTTTGAAGTGCCAGCGACCAGGACTCGATCCGGGACCGGCTTCCTGAAAGCGGTCCTGGTCCCAGGACCAGGACTCGTCCCGGGGCCCGTCCTGGGACTGGTCCTGGGACCGGTCCTGGGACCGGTCCCAGGAGCGGTTTTGGCTGACTACAAGTAATCTGAAACAACAGAAGTCCCAGGACTGGTCCCAGGACCGGTCCCGGGACCGGTCCCGGGACCGGTCCTGGAAATCCACTTTTCGTGCGTTCGGGCGTGTCCCCCAGAAACCATCATTGATTCCAATCACTTCCAGTTGCACCCCACGCCGGTCCCCTCTGCAGGAGGCTGGGACGGGAGGCAGAGGGTCGGCGCAGGTGTTTGCACCTCGACGGTGGAGGATTTGCACGCATTAGCGCTAGCATTGCCAAGCGCTAGCATCGTCAGCTACGACTTGTCTTAGTCCTTTGAGTGCGTCAAAGCGCCGCATGCCAAAGCAAAGATCCTTCTTTGGGATAACCTTGATGCGATAGCCTCTTTTCGTCTAGCTATAGGGCCAGTCATTTTCTGTGGAATGCTCAAACCCAGTGAGGGTTGTCGCGACATAGGAAGAGCTTCATGGCAACCACGACTCTTCTCAACTATAGCAAGCTCGTTTGGGGGACGAGCTTGTCCATGCCCCGGGGAAAACTGGAGGAAGTTGGAAGTTCGCAACAGGTTGATTTGGCCGTGGGTCAAAACCAATGGGATCCCATTTCGGGGTAGGTGAATTCACCACCCACTTTTAGAACCTATTTTAGTGGGGATTGGGATCACTGGGGGTACGATTCGGATTTGGACCCGTGGCCATTTAACCATAGTCCCAGCCATAGGCAAGGAAGCATAGCACTCTTGGGAGAACGCTCTGGGACAAGGTGCAAGCCCGATCTTTGTGCTCGGCCCTGGACAGATCAGCGCATAGGACCTAGTCACCATGAATTTGCATCACTGACTATCATGCACCCTATAAACAGGGTATGAAACGGGTATGGCTTTGCCATTCAGAGCCCTTGCAAAGGGCCATTTTACTTCCACCGTCAAAACGATCCAATCTGACCGGCAAATTCAAACATGAATGTGTGTGTGTTTGTTTGTTTGTGTGTGTGTGTGTGTTGAGGGTACTCCATGTTGTGGTTTTAAGGGGAAATTACCAGGAACAGCGCAGCCTTTTTTGGGGGGTTCCGTTGAAACAAACCTAGACATATATGGGTTTGTGATTTTTTGTAGTACTTTTCGGGTTGGCAAAACGGGGACCCGCCCAAGGAAAACCACCAACTGGGGGTTCCCTTGACATACAGCGAGCCTGAGTTCCCTGCGCGGTTTTAAGCAAACTTGCGCCAGGAGTTTGCCCGCTGCCAAACCGTGCAAACTAGCTGCGACGCAGGCCCGGCTAAAGAACTTGAGGTGCCTCATGAAACTCGGGTTATTTGTCTTGACTTTGTCTGGGGGTTGTCAAAGTCAGCAACCGGGGGGGTATAGGCCAGTGAAATTGGACGATTCCGGTTTTGCTTGAGGCTTCAGATAATTACATAAAGCTCCAATGCACTTTGTTTATGTTGCTTGCTTTCCCTTCCAACAGTTTGTCCGCTGTTTGGGATTAGCAGATGTCCAATCATATGGTCCCTATGGCCTGTCCAATGTAGAGGGCATGTTTGGCAAATGTGTGGCACCTTGTTGCGGTGTTTTGCCCACAGCTCCAAACAGACAGCCTTTCAAGCTGCGAGAGCTGTTTGCGTGTCTTTTGAAATTGAGGACCTCTTTGTTTGCCGCTTCTGGAAGAGACATAGTAGTAAATGCATGTACCCAATCCTTGGCAACATGGGCAAGACACCACATGGAGTGACATGCAGGTCTCCCTCACTCTCTCCCTTTTTCCCTCCCTCCCTCCCTGTCCTCCCTCCCTCCCTCCCTCCCTCCCTCCCTCCCTCCCTCCCTCCCTCCCTCCCTCCCTCCCTCCTCCCTCCCTCCCCTCCCTCCCTCCCTCCCTCCCTCCCTCCCTCCCTCCCTCCCCTCCCTCCCTCCCTCCCTCCCTCCCCCTCCCTCCCTCCCTCTCCACGCCCTCCCTCCTTCCCTCCCTCCCTATCTCCCTCCCTCCCACTCTGCTGCCTCTCTCCCATAGAATGGCAGACCTTCGAAGGTTTTTTAATGGGCTCCCGATTGGCGGCCTTGCAAGCCGCTAGGCAGTGGGCATTGGCAGTGCTGGGCTCAGTGGGCATTGGCATGTTATACCTTGAGCGACCTCAGACAGGGGAGCTGCGACTCATGCACGTTCAACCACAGCAAGTACAGTGCCCAGTGCTTCCAGATACCACTGTACTAGGTAACCAGGGCTTCTTACCTCTAAGTTTTACATCATGGTTTCCCTCAGTTTTCTTCTATACTGAGAATTGGAAGCACTGGGTAGGCTATTCCCATGGTTGCAGCTGGTGCAACCGGGGTGATCGCCCCTTATAGCCATGGTTCCTTCACCTGCTTGCTGAGTTGGTTGAGCATCCAAGCACCCTTGATGATTGTTCCTCTCTTGGGCGTCGCCTGTCTCTGGTTGGTGAATTCGTATGGTTGGAGCAATGTGGTTGTCTACCATTTGTCATAGGCGTGCTGGTCAGAAGCTGTCGGAGGTCGGCATTGTTCATGTCCCTGAGTCCATCATGGGACAATGTGAGCGTGCCTTGTTTTTGAGGGAAAACTTGTTGGTGTTGGTTTAAATGGATACCAAAAGGAACACCACCATTTAGTGGGGTCCCCTATTTTGAGACAAATCCTGGCAGTGCGGTTGCGACGCGTTTCTGTGCGGTTGTTTTGCATGAACCTTCGAGATGCAACCATGTTTTAACTGCTCGAACTACGGAGGTTCGCTTTGAAGAGTGCGCATGTACAACAACATTGTCGGACTTGCAGAACAGGAATCTATGGAATTTTGGGTGTCCCGTGCACGCTCCAGACCTTCAGCAGTGACTTTGTTCTTTTCTTTCTGCAATGTGTATGTTCTGTTTGACTAAGAAGCTTGGAGGTGTGGCTCTCGCTTCAAAGCCAGCCAAGACACAAATCAACGGTGCATTTGAGTGCGCATTTTCTTCGATGGCTCCGCTTCTGGGTTTTTTCAAGTTGAAACCAACCGGAAAACCCATTTTGGGGGGCAGGGGTTCATTGTGACTTCTTTTAGGGGACGCCCAAATGACTTCGTTATTATTATTATTATTATTGGTATTGTTATTATTGTTATTGTTATAATAATACTTATTATTATTTTTACAATTTCCTTTCAACACCAACCAAAGAAGGGGTATCCTTCACCTCAAACAAAAAGCATCAGATCCACGAATCCACGGTCCCCATGTTTCGGTCGCTGAGGTGGTCTGTGCCAGTGTCCTCACGTCAGGGCATTGGGCGCCTCATGTGGGGACCCCTGTGCTTGGAGGCAGGGCACGTTGAGCTTGAGCGCGCGTTCCAGACGCGGCCGCTGGCTCCTTTTGTTTGGTTGCCCTTCTGTCTTGCAACATCCACCAGCTTAGGTTATAACCATGGTTACAACTGGGATCTCTGGTGTGATCTCCCTTGTACCCATGGTTATACAAACTATATACCAAGGAATTTGAACACCCAAGTTGGGGTGGTTTAAAGGGAGACCAAAAGAAAGCCATCCATTTCATGGCGTGGAACTGTTTAGCCACCTATATTTCCCAGAAAGGCTTTCAGCACCCTTCCAAGAATCTGCCTGGGGCTCTTAGAACCATGCTAGATGTCGTGAACGGGGATCCGCATTCAATGAATCTGGCGGCGCCATGTACCCCCGACACCTATGCTTCTTGAAGGCTTGGTGCTGGACATGTATGTTTGCAGCTTTCGGGGATGGGTAGGCTCGCACGACATTGAGTGGCAACTCAGATTAGTGTGTTGTTTCATTGTTTATTTATTTTTTTACAACGCACATGCCAATAATAAGCCAGTGGTGAGTTTTGTTCAGTTGGAGCTAGCTAAAAGGTACTCGTACTAGGTCAGTTGCAGCCCTTTCCCAAGTTCTTGCCATTTGCCCAAGTGAGCCTTGAGCCGCAGTCGGGGAAGTTTTCCGCGCTGGAATGGACTCAAGCCTAAGCCCTCGCTTGCCAGCCACGAAGGCAAACTCGAGCTTCCTCTGATCTGTCTGGCTCGCTTCAGGGCTACTGACATGCACGGCATGTAAAACTAGGTCCCCCAGCTAGGTGCCGTTGTACCGATTCTTTTTTGGGGGAGGGTTCCCCTACTAAAATAGACTACAGAAAACAGGGTACCCTTATTCTAACCTCTCTGCTGGAGGACCTAGAAGACATTGTTTTGTGGCCGGGCCTGTTGCTTTGGCAGTTGGTGAATCACAACTTTGTCAGCTTTGACCTCGGCCTCTCGATCCGCGCTCAGAGTGCCACAGCCGCGCCAGCTAGTTTTTTTTTCACCCCCCCCCCCCCAGTAGATGATCAACAAGGGATTGATTCCAGGATTGTGCAGTTTGGCGCTGGGGATCTTGAAGCATCACCCAGTGCTTCCAGGCAGCCACTATATAGTGTAGGGAACCAAGGGAAATCATGATGTAACACCTAGAGGTAAGATGCCTGGTTACCTGCCGTAGTGCCAACTGGAGCACTGGGTCATGTAAGCTTGCATCCCTCCGTGAACGATTGTTTCGCTTGTCGTAATGGGGCGTGGAATGGAGCACAGAAGGGCTCTCAAGGAACTTCAGAGTTCCCCATTCATACATGGAGATGTTTCTGCGACTCCCGATCAGTTTCAATGATGATTGGCTCCTTGCTTGTTTGTTTGTTTGCTTGTGTGCCTCTCCATGTCTCTGTGTTGTTGACATGTTTGATCCAACACAAACACGCACACACACTTCAGTTTGCGTCTTCCTTGAGAATATTTGAGACCATTTCATATTTTGGGTTGACCACGTATGAAAAATATCCCTGGTGTCAGTATGTGATCTGGTTCCGGGGCTTATCAAAGTCAGAAACTTGGGTGGTTTCAGGGAAACCTGCACTTGTGGGGTGACTTTGATAGTGGCAACATAATGGGCCAGTCCTTGATTGATTGATTTGTTTGTGTGTAACCCTAGTCGCCAAGATTTGAGGTTTGTGAAAGTCAGGGTTTGTCGCAAGCTCTAAACAACCAGACTCCAGCCCAGGGAAGCCAAGACGAGGTGATTGAATCAGTTGATTTGGGCCAAGACATAGAGGGTGCCCCCTTTCGGGGGTGGGTTTTGTTGTGCAACAATTAAAACCGTTGTGCCATTTTGGGGGGTTTAATCTAAGAGACCAGCCACCCATGTCGAGACTAAGGCCATGCCGCAGTGCATGCCTTGGACCGAAAGACCGAAAGGCTTGGACGCGTCTGGATTTCTCTTTGAGTTTCCAAAATCTGGTTTTGCGGAGAACTTTCTTGCTTTTCTTTGATTTTTTGCGGATTTCTCAGGTTTTGAATGACTCCGAGAGCCATCCCCTCTGGTTCCCTTTCAGGGGACGGGGTTCATTTCCTACTCACCCTGAGTGATTTCCCCCACGGACTATTGAGCACCACGTGTTTGTGGGCTTCCTTGTTTTCTTTTTGGGTTTCGGTTTCAACCCCAAGCAGTTTGTCCGCTTGCTCTTCTACATTGATCAACCCCCAAAAAGCGCGGTGCTTTTTGGCGAGTTCCGCAGTGGTCAACCCCGACAAGACCAATGGTCGCAACTCCTTCCCTTCGCGTCACTGGCAATGGCCTCAACTCGTCCAAGGCCATCTTTTCAAGAGACCCTCTGTGAGTGCAGGCCTCTGGGCAGTTGCAAGGGGTGGAATGTATCAAGTTACTTCAAGTGTCGCTTGGGGGGTTCCAAGAAATGCTCGCAAACAGCGGTTCAAACGATCATTTAGTCTTAAAAGGGAAGCCAAAAGAAGCTTGTTGAAAGAATCATGGTTTAAACCTTTTTGTGGGAAGCACAGTGATGGCTCGGCTTGGTGCCACCAAAGCGCCGGCCCCCAAACAGAGGACCAAACCACAAGGGTAGAATCTTGGCGTGGCGTCTTCCTTCACCATAAACCAGACTTCTACACTTTTGGGGTGCTTGGAGCAAGTCTGGGTGGAAGTGGATGGCTCAGTTTCCATGGGGGGGATGGGGAAAACTAGCTGGAAGCTGCAAGCTTGCCTAGGCAGCAATGCCGAAGAACAGCTCTGGCTGTGGGTTGTGGCCTCAGACTCGGAGCCGGCCACCCACCCCTGGCCATGTAGCGGACCCAAGCGAGCATGAAGCCCAATGGACTGTTGGCCGCACTTGCGGTTGGATTGCAGCTAGCGGTTCTGCAGTCATATCATTCAATACGCATGGGTGTGTGTGTGTGTGCGCGTGTGTGTATGGTCTTTTTGACGGAACCCTTTTTGGCTGGCTGTAAAGGGAAGCCCCACCCAAAGAAAAAACGCCATTCTTGGACGTCCCTGGGGCATGTCTTGACATGTCTTCACGCTCATGCATATGTAATATGAGTTGGCGCCTGTAGCCTTTGTTTAGTGTTTGTCTATTTGTTTGAGGGATCTGGGTGATGGTGATAGACCTGGCGGGGGACCATGAAACAGTGGTGCTGGGTGTTGGTTTGGCCTTTCACCTTGGGCTGCGGGCTCCTTGGACCAAGTCCCAAGGATGACCTGCGGAGCCAGCAGGAGCTGGGCATGCGGATTTGAGAAATCAGAAGTGATGGGCCACAAGCTTGCACATGTATATTGCTGTGGGACCGGAGACGGTGGGTTGTGCTTTTGGTTTTCCTTCAAAACCGTACCGAGCCTCAAAAAGACGAGTCACCCATATGATGGCCCATATGGGTATGTGTCGGGCTTTCGAACATAGTCGGGCATTGCGAAGGGGCTGGTATAGTTGTTCAGCTGGGCGGGACGCGTGGGGTGAAAATAAACACATATTGAAGACGGCGGGATGACCAACGGCCAGCCCTATCTTGTTTAATTTTTTTTAACAGGTCTTGTAGCGCTGGAGTCGATGTTTTGAGCTGGTTGCATGCAGCTCAAGAAAGACTAGACACTCGCCCAAGTCAAAGCTCAGCTCCTCCCCCGCACGCACGCACACACCCATCCACCCACCCACCCACCCACCCACCCACCCAACCCAACCCAACCCAACCCAACCCAACCCAACCCAACCCAACCCAACCCAACCCAACCCAACCCAACCCAACCCAACCCAACCCAACCCAACCCAACCCAACCCAACCCAACCCAACCCACCCACACCCACGTCCACACCCACACCCACACCCACACCCACACCCACACCCACATCCACACCCACACCCACACCCACACCCACACCCACACCCACACCCACACTCACACCCACACCCACACCCACACCCACACCCACACCCACACCCACACCCTCCCCCACCCCCACACCCCCACCCCCACCCCCACCTCCACCCCCACCCCCACCCCCACCCCTACGCACGCACGCACGCATCCGCATCTGCATCCGCATCCGCATCCCCATCCGCATCCGCATCCGCATCCGCATCCGCATCCGCATCCGCATCCGCATCCGCATCCGCATCCGCATCCATCCACACCCACGCCAACACAGCCACACCACCCACACTCACACGGAAGCCCACACGCACACGCACACAAACGCACACGCCCACACACAGACACACTCACACACTCACAAACCCACCCACCCACGCACCCACCCACCCACCCACCCGCCCACCCACCCACCCACGCACGCGCACGACAGATGCATGCGCATGACAGGGGCGCAGGCACGCGCACACACGCGCACGTGCACGGGCAGACAGAGAGCCACACCGACGGAGAGACACAGAGACGAACAAAAACACGGAGACACAGAGACGCAGAGACACAGACACACAGACACACAGAAACACACAGACACACACTCGCAGACACAGACCCAGAAACACACACACACCCACACACACCCACACCCACACCCACACACACACACACACACCCACACACACACACACACACACACACGCACCCGCAGACAGACATACACACACACACACACCGGCTCTCAGCACGTCACTTTGGAGCAGGAGTTGTGACCAAAGTGTCCACTTTACCAAGGCGGGTGGGTGAGAATCCGGGCCTTTTCGACAACGGACATTTAAACTCAAGGGCGTGTATGTGTGTGTGTGTGTGCCATATTGGGAGATCATGTCAGCCCTGGTTGCAATGCCGCAACTTGGATGCTTTCTGTTTGAGTGATCAGGTTGAACCTTTTTTCCCCTGGTTGCTATTATGCGGGCAAATGGAATCATGGGAGGCTTAAAGCGATTTATTGCGAAGTGGGCTCGTACATTCGACACACGGGGAGACCGTGGCATGAGCTGGGCTTGCGGGCACCACGTGTTTGCTCAATGCGCTGGCCTCTCACATGCGTTCCAGCACAAGGATGATCGGGCTGTGAATGCAGAAAGGCTAAGTTCAGCAAGGATAAGGGTTACAAAGGCGGCCGCTTGTAATTTTGTGTTGAATGGTCTGGGATAAGGGTTCTTGTACCAGGTTTTGATTGCAACTCAGCTGATCATTTTGCCAGATTCTTGCTTTTTTTTGCGATACGGCAGATATTATCAATAGCTCGCTCAGAAAGTTGCAGTTTGTTGAACGGATATAGATAGTCCTTTCTTGCGCATGCAGATTTTCCAACGAGACGCATATGTCATCTACCTGGAGCCCAAATGTCCTTCGTTTGGTAGGCCTTTCAAACTCATGTGTCTCCATGCACCAATTTGACCATTGGTGTCCTGCTTTCCTGTTTCATGACCATGCAATCGGTTTGGCCATACTGATGACCAAGACGCCACAGGTGCATCCTTTGTATACTATGCCCCACGTACACACACACACAGTGCAGAGATAGGAGGCATGTCACTGACACTACCATATTTTGCTGAACGTGGGCCCCGTACTTTCTCAAGAAGCTGTCTCACAGATGGTACGTGGTTTGTGTTTCGGCGAGCTTCTTGCACCGGGCTTTTCTATGAATTGGTCTTTGTCCTGACCGGAGTCGGGGGGAACGTGCGAGGCGTGCGAAAACGCCCGGGCAGCTTGCGGCCAAAAGCTGCGACCCTCGTCGTTGCTTCCCGGCCCGCCGTTGGCGTGTCGCTTTCGACGAGAAAAAGACGTTGGGCTTTCGCTTTGAGCGGCGGCGTAGCCGTGCCAGCTTCACGGACTGAGATACGCTACCAGAAAGCCTTTAAATACAAGTCATCACGTGGCAGGTTTTGAAGGATAAGCCTTGAACTGCAAGTACGGTTGCTGGAAGTTGCGATTTCGTTGTAGTATGGGGTATGACAAGCCTTTGGTTGTACTTCTGCAGGCTTCGCGGCTCTTACGACATTGCACATGCCAAGTGAGCCGAGCATGGCTACCTATGCAACACAAAGCTCCAAAGCTCCGCGTGTTGGAAGCGGGGCGGAGATGTGTGGAGATTCCGATGTCAACACAAAGCCGAAATGTTCCAATGGAATTTCGTAGTACACTCTCAAGAACCAGCCCGGAACAAAGGGATCCCTCTTTCAGTTGCCCCCAGGTTCCATGTTGGAGGGGGCCCTTGGGCAACTCTTGAACTGGATTCGAGCAGCCATGGAACAATACAACGGATAGAAATACTGGGTGCACGCCGATGCGCAGCCCATGGCTGCCAGGCTGCGGCATACAAATTCGGCCAAGTGAAAAGCCGACGATATCTAGAAACGCCAACAAACAATGGTGTTGTTTTCATAGTTTCTTAGGTGATGCGAAATGGATTTCGTTCGCCAGTAGAGGGGTGGGAGGCCCTTCCAAAAGTGGTCTGATTCTCCAGGGACACCCAACTAACATGCACTAACATGGATGTCTCTCACGTTGATGGACCCAGAGAAAGGATGGCTGTTGGCTGAGAGCCTTGGAATTCGGTGCTCAATAATTGAGGTCAGTGATTGCCCTTGCTCCTTGACGTGACTTGATTTGGTCTGATGATTCCTGTGGAGTGTCCCGGAATTAGTATAATGTGAACACAAGGCAACAAGCGGACATTCACCGACCTGGTCTCAGGCACGTTTTACCCTGCTTTTGTCCGAAGTTTGTCACCCGGTGTTTTTCAAGGGAAGGCCGCTCCAGGAGAAGAACGAAAAGATCGGTCTCCCTTTTTGGACGGTGAAAGGAAGGGCGAAAAGAACAAACCCAATTTCCAGAGCCTTTTTCCAGGAAAAAAAGAACAATAAGAAGAAACAAACAGGACGGTGACAAAACTACCAACAAACACAAGTCAAAAAAAAGCCCTGAGTGAGGTTCCAGAAACCCAACCCAGAGGCAACCAACCGACTGCGCACCACGTTTTTGTCGGCGAACTCCAGGTCCACCTGGGAGATTTCAGCTGCCATCCCGGTGCTCTACACGCACCAAAAGGCGCGGCCCCCGAAAGCGAAAGCCGCCGGGTGGCCGCCAAGGGGTCCAAGTGCCGAGGTACTTAGACCCCTTTGTCTCTTTTTGCGCCCTAAAGCCATCCTCAGGTACTTGGAAATTTCTGGGTAAACCTGCCAAGGCAATACAAAGACTTACGGAGATGCGAACCCCAATCCCATCTGAGAATGGTTATGAGAGGAAACTGCCAACTCATACATAACCCCCTAGCAGTCTTTTTCTGTCTCCCTGCTTGCTCCTCTTCCTTGCGATCTGGTTGCTTTACTTTGGTTTTTGCAACTGCCCTCCGGCCCCTTCTCGAGAGGATGGGCTTGGAGGCACTATTGGGTTTGTGTTTATGGACCCCTCAAAATGGCGGTTTACCTTTGTGGTTCCGTTTAAAACCCCAAAAAAAATCAGGGGGTACCCTCAAAATTGTTACAGCTGCTGTGGGCTTTGACTCCCGGATGATGGTAGGCTCCAGAAGATGTGGACCTGCGACATGTTTACAGATGGTCGGGCAAATTGTATGTTCCCCACCAGCCAAAAAATGTATGGCTGATCAGCTTGCCGGTTTTTTTATTATTCAGACATTGCTGAGGAGATTCAATGACAGGACCTGCCAGGCAGGGATGAAACTAGTTTGACGGATCCGCGTGATCTACCCCAATGCCCAGGATGCATTTGCCGCGTTCGCAAGGCCAGTGTTTTGAAGCTTAGGAGGGCTAGGCTCCAACCAACCAGACGTTGTGTTTCATCGCTTCATTCCGTCTCCGCTGCCTGCACAGCCAGCCGTGGGCCACCCGACATGCTGGAACCTAAACCCGAAAACCCGAAGCCTCAACCTTAGCAAACCTAAACCTAAACCCCCGACACTTTAACCTAACCCCTACCCTACAAACCCTGAACCTCAACTTACAAACCCGAAGCCTGAACCCTAAAGACCGCTCCTAAACCCGAAAGCTGAAGTCAAACCCTAAGCCTGGAAAGTCTTAGACCCCGAGAACCTTTTCCTAAACCTAAACCCTAACAACTAAAAACATGTCCGGCGGGGCGGAATGCATGAATTGGGGGGTATTTTCAGCGCTTTGGTGGGCTCATTTACACCGCCAACCACGCACCACGCTTGAGCATGTTCCCCTTGTACCACTGGCAGCGTCAGTATGTGTACCAACAGGCGGGAGATAGCTCAATGAGTTTCGGAAGCGTCAGTTCCTTGTGTGCTCACCATTTCTTGCTGGTGCTCAGCAGGGAATGAGGGAATGACCCTCATAGACATCCCTTGTGGAACCCTTTAAGGGGACCAACGCCTGGGTTGATTCCCGTACTCCCTACCTATCGCACCAGCCAGTTATTTAGGCGACCTTTACTGGTTCCTATGTTGCCATGCTTTTTGGTTGGCGCGAATATGCCAACGGGCAGCTTCATTTCTCGGCTTCTCCCGGCCACTTTGCGGTTGCCATGGTTTGGGCCACCAGAAGCGAAGGCAAGATAAGATACATGCCCAGATGGGAGCATTTACATAATAGCTTTGATGCATTTTGCTTGGATGTTAGGACTTTAACTTTTTGCCAACTAGTGGGTTTTCCATTAAACCACTAAAAGATAAACTTTTAGCAGGGGAGCAGAAAGCAACCGAGATAGTGGACCCGGCCAACACTGAATCTTCTTAAAGGAGTAGGATTTGTGGCTTTTGCATGTGGGGGTGATCAAAAGGTCCGAAATACATGGGATGACCACGAGGGGAAACTAGCAGAGAGATAGTATTCTCCACGAAATGGGGAAAGTTGCCCATGGTCATTCTGCAAAATACCATCAATAAGGATTTTGGAGTTTGAACCCTGCTTTAGACCCCAGATTGGACCGGGCGTTACATGGAATATTCATCAACCCCCATGTGTCCGCTTCCCCTACGAATTGCCGTTGGTTGCACGAGGCGGTAAAGCGGCCATCCTTCAAGGAGGGGATTCTCCGCCTCTCCGCCGGCCGTGCCACGCTGTGCGACAGCAGTGGCAAAGTGCTGGATGCAGAGACCGCGCGGGTCTTGGGCTCCAGGTTGCTCAAAGAGTATGGGTGGAGGTCAAACCAAGTATTTTGAAGGCATGTGAAGTGAGCAGTTTGCATGGCTGAATTGGTAGGTGCGACGATCCCGATGTGGAGTTATAGGGTCCCCATCTGGGGTCACGGTGCTTTGTAGTTTTTCCAAGCAAAGTGGGTGCCACAAACCTGTCGCCTCACAACTGCTTGACATTGCTCAGTTTCTGGCCCGTGGCTCGAAGACCTATCGTTTCAGTGGTGGGACTTCGTTGCCCAAGGTCACAAGCTCCCTGCTGGCGCAGTTGAAGAACCAGGAGGAGTTGGCCGCTCGGAAAGGAGTTGGCAACGGGGTCTTACTAGTGGACCAGCCCTTGAGCAAGGAGGACAGAGGGTATGGATTGCCACCTGCTCTCTCTCTCTCTCTCTATCTCTATCTCTCTCTCTCTCTCTCTATCTCTCTCTTTGCGACAGAAACGAGGCCCTTCCTGGCGCTCACTTGCATGTAGCCCAGTGCTTCCAGGCGTTAAGCCAGTATAGGTACCCAAGGGAGACCATGATGTAAAACCTGAATCCAGGGTTATCTACCTCCTAGACTGGCAACTGGAAGCACTTGGTAAGACGACTTACTGCCTGGTCTCTCTTTTTGTTTTTGTTTTTGTTTTTGTTTTTTGTTGTTGCGACAGAAACGAGGCCACGTACTTCCTTTGATCTTCCCTGGCGCTCGCTGAATGAGGCAAGCTTCATTCCGGATTTTGATGCACGTGTGCAATGGAATATGTATTGGTTTTGCAATGCTTGAGCAGCCTGCAGTCTTCCAGTAGTATTGGTCCATTTATGGTGATGTTGCCAGAAACTACTTGTAACTACTTGTCAGGGCACTTCATCATTAGTTTCATTAGCACGCGCTTTCTCGTGAATTGCCCATAGAGATGCTCAAAGGTCTGAAAGCTCATGTGCTTATCCACTAAGATTTCACTATACATACAAATCATATATATATATATGTATAAGTTCCATTTTGGCTGTGGCTCGTTCATGATTTGCGTTGTTGCTGTCATGTTGGTGCTTGCAAAGCGGTTTTACAGCACGGTTCCGCACACACACACACACTTGTCATACCAGCCTACATATTCTGGTTTGGTACATCCGAGTCTTTGGAGTTTTCCAGATATGGTCCTCGCCAATTCGTGTGAAACCAAAGTGGTAGTCAAGTGAGTCCAACTGTGATCTTGCTATATGCTTTGGGACATCAAGTGGATGTTTTAGTTTTGGCCAGCTTCCACTGATATTTGTCAGACACAGTCGGATCTCTGTATGGTTCACATAGGGAAACCAGGGTTGGTTTTGCATCACGGTTTTCCTTGTGGTACCTGGAAGCACTGGGTGACTGGGTGACACTTTTTGGGGCCGCCTTGATCACACCATATTGCCACATGAAGAACCAGTGGAAAGCAGTTGAGCACTGAACTGAATCGGGACCTTCCAACACGTAAACGTCGCCACTGAAGCTCCGATTCCCTGTGCAATCAATGATTCCAATGTTGCTTCTTGTCGAAGCCGGCAACCAGAAAAGAAGAACAAGACAAACCAAAAAACATTCAGCTTCAAAAAACCGAGACACAACACAGGGTTGCCGGTTGGAAGTGCGGAACTTGTCCGATTTTCCCATCGATTTTTGCCACTCCCCAAGGACTTCCCCGGCCACTTGCTGCAGCCGGATCCCACCTTGGAGATCTCCGTGCCCAGCCTGCCCACCGAGCCGGAGCCGTCCCCTTCCCGGCGCAGAGGCGGTGATCACCACATGCTCCTCTTGGTGTGTTTGTGGAATCACAAAGTCGATGTGGTTGCGGGTCAAAACATAAGGTAACAAAAATGGGGATGGTTACCACCCCACTCCCGCCCAATTTTGGAAGGCTTCCTGGGTGTTCGTCGGGGTACCGGGGTTTTGACCCATAGCCATGGAATGTGCTTGACATTTGAGCATAGTCTTGGATATTCTATATTTGGCGGTTTTGGTATGAGACTTTGTTTGACTGAACGCCCAGTGCTGTTTCGGTTCAACAATCGTGAGTTGCAACTTTTGGCGCCGTTCCGTAGCGAGAATGCTGGACGACTCATCAATTTTGATCTGCCAAGCTGCGTGACGGAAGTTGATGGAAAAAGGCTGCTCTATCAGTTGTTGCTTTTAGGAGGGCTTTCGATCTCTTGAAGTGGCTTCATTCCCAATAGCTGAAAGCTATGGGTTCTTTGCCCAGAAAGGCTCGATCGGGGTGGTTTGGGGGAGCGGGTTCCGCAGGGGGGATACCATCTGGGCTGTTTCGAGTGCCCACCGAAATGTAGCCAACTCCTTGGTTAGGGTCCAACAAACCCAGCTGAGCCACCATCAATTTTTGAGTAGATGAAGGGCAGACCCGAGATTTTGATTATGACTCAAATGGCTATGGGTCAAAAATGCGTACCCAAAATGAAACCCTGGTGAATGGAAACATGGACTAGAACCTGCGGTCCCCTGGTGGTTTTACTTTGACCACCCATACCCCAATGAGAAACTGTCCAGGGTCTCATGTCAGCAGTCCTCCTTGTTGTGCGCAGGCCAGACCTGCCTCGGCGTGAAGCCGCTACTCAGCGTCACTCTTTCTTTTCCTTTTTCCTTATTTTTTTGGTGGCTGCCACACTAAAAACGGTCTTCCCCAAAAAGGGTTCCCTTTTTTCGGGGGAAACTGCCCTTCATCCGACTTGGGTCGAAGTGCATATGTCGTTTTTCAGGTGGGTTCCTTTGGGTGTTCCGTGAAACCGACCAGAAAAGGTTGGGGTTAAAAACAAGCCATGAACTCAGAGAAAGCTTTCTGGGTGGTCAGGAACAAACGGACACTGAACAAAACAAGACAACTATGAAGTATCCCCATCTGTGGTGGGATGAACAATGTCACAAACAATTCCATGTCAATGTCAGTTCCAGGGCCGACACAACCGTAAACAAAGCTTGCCCTCTGCTTTACCCTACCCGAACAAAGTCCCACTTTACCCACCCTCGCACGAACTTAGCCCCCATAGGAAGGAGGTTGTAATGATCAATGTCCATTTCCTTGTCAGCTGCCACGTCATCTCCAAATGGAGAACCTCGGCATGATTAGAGTTAGGCCGAGTTATAGAATAACATGTATCCTAAGTCTACCCCAGAAGAAGCGTGGCTTCTCTTCACATTACGTCAAACAAGACGTGGAAAAGTCGAAACCTTCCAGAACCACCCGGAGCTCAACTCCGAACCATGGAAGGGCATGGGGGTCTGGGACAAGAAGCGAGCTCTGGAGAAAGGAAAGACACAACACCTCAGCGGCATCCGATTTTTTTGGGTTGGTTGAGCTAAGGGGAGCCCTGCCAAAAAAAAGAGGAAAAAGGGCAGACTCCACTGGGCAGCTGGGATAGCTTGCTTGCTTGGTTGATTGCTCTGCTCTGCTCTGCTCTGCTCTGCTCTGCTCTGCTCTGCTCTGCTCTGCTCTGCTCTGCTCTGCTTGCTTGCTTGCTATCTTGCTATGTTGCTTTCTTGCTTTCTTGCTTGCTCTGCTTGCTTGCTTGCTCGCTCTCTTGCTCGCTTGCCTGTCTGCCCTTGTGTTTTTTGGGTCTGTTTGTGTGTTTGTTTGCTTGTGTGGTTGTTTGTCCGTTTGTGGCATGTAGTTTGCTTTTGTGTGTGTGTGTGCGCGCGTGTGCCATTTGCGCTGCCGCGTGTGTGCGTGGGTCCAGTGTTGTGAGTGTTGCTATGTTTGATGCGTTGTGGTACGTGGTGCGGTGCCTCACAGGGTGAGCAGCGTGTCGTTTGCCGTGCTGTATTGTCATTGGCTAGGTACCCCGGTAGTGCCCTTTTACCCGTTTTTTGGGGAGGGTTCCCCCACTAAAATAGACGTCCTGAAAAAAGTTGGTACCCTTATTCCAACCTCTCTACTGGAGGACCTAGGTGTTGCTGTTGTTATGGTTGTCTCTAGTGCCGACATTGGGTCTTGGTGGCTTGCCAAGGTTCAAACGGCCGCGTACACAGCCGCGCTCACTTAGTAGCTTCTCCACGGCAGGGTGCCCGGTGGCCTTACCTGCAGGCCCTAACAAAAGTGAAGAATGTGGATGTGAACAGACTTTGTGCCTCAACAACCTGATTGACCAATTTGCGGAATTTGCGCAGAAACTAGATGTGGGTAGGCTCCAATAGTGTATGTGCCTGACTCGTTGTTCCAAGAATCCATGATTGCGCCAGCTGGCCTTTGTCCGACCCGTAGGCAAATTGGCAAATTTGTCCTCAAGCACGAGATGGGCCTGCCATACGCTTGAATCAGAGTATGGATGTTCGGGTTCAGTTCTTGGTGTCAGGTGGAAATCCCTTTGAACTATTCTTGTTGAATTAATCAGTGTCGAGGAATGGCCGTGACTGGAGACATGTTCGATATGTTTGCACGCTGCACCGACCTTGTGGCTGATCCGCTCTCAGGCTAGCTCAGCAGCACACTCTCTGCCAAGACCAGGTGCGAGATGTGGCTGCCGATGTTGCGCAGGAATGGGCGACAAGTAATGCACGTGCGACAGGCTTGATTTTACCTATGGGTTCATGCTTCCTGCCCGTGTTTCACTTGGTAGTTATTCGTCTGCATCTTTGTAGGTTGATTGCTTGAATGCTTTGCGTATTGCTTGGATGTTGGCTTTGCTGGATCCCTGGAGCCAATGAGCAATTCCATGAACAGGCGTATGGCTGGGTTGTCTAAGGGGGTCCCCGTTTTGGAGTTTGGGGTTTGTTCAAAGGGGACTAAAAGGAAACCACGCATTTTGGGATTTCCGTATTTTGAGACACACCCATATGTATTGAGTGCCCTGTGCCCGGCCACGATCCGCAGCTTCGGGTGGATTTTCCAAACAGTTGTGCTACTTATTGTTGACTATATTTTACATATATATTACATCAACAATATTACTGGATTGCTAATTTACATTGTGAATCCAGAATATTGTTAATATGGTTGACCATTTACACACAATATTTTCCCCTATTGACATACTATGCACCATATGCACCCTACTGATAGCACATTAGTTCGAGGCAATTGTGCACACGTCAATACTCAGCAGTCAAAGGCCCCCTTGCTCGGCTTGTCGCAGAATCCTCGACACCATGGCTCTGTAAAAAGCTGACAAGAGGGGCCTCTCCGATTTGGCGTGCTGGAGAACCCATGCTTCCGTGTTTTCCACGAAGCCTCGGTTTGCTAGATGCAACGCTTGAGACAATGGAGCCACTGGCAACAGGCTCTTTACCGCCGTTTTGTGTCGTATGGGGTGTACATGCCTGGGGATCAAGCGCATCAGGACTTCTGGTGTCCATTCAACCACTCCAAGCGACTCGGAAGACTTTGCGACAAAAACCTGCAGGTTGGCAGCAGTTGTGCTGCCGGTCTCACTGGGTGTAGACCTCAGGCCCTGAATTGGTGGTTTGGCTGGGATGTGAAGAATCCAAACCAATCAAGCGGAAGCTGAATATCGAAGTGTCTGGAAGAAGCGCCACACAATTCTCCAAATCTCTCCGCCAGGCCGAGACGAGCAGGACTGGGAACGGATGGCATGCGAGCAGACTTTTGGAGGTTTCCTTGCACCAGACAGTCCAAATGTCGAGTCCATGGTGATAATGACAATTTTGACCTGTGCTTATCTTGCGATCACTCAATCAGTCAGCGTTCAGCTGCTTGTAGGGGCAAAGGGATCTGACTTGGCATGCGTGCTGCTTGTAGGGGCAAACAGACCTGACTTGGCAATTTCTGGAAGCCAGGCAGACTATTTCAATCATGTTCACGAAAAACACCGAATTAAGAGCCCCAAGCATGAGAAAAACTGTCAACGCTGGGCAGCAAGAAGCAGACACACGGGCCTCCTTGAGGATCTTTCAGGTGCCCTTTCCGCGCCTAGCACTGCCGCAGTCCCAGAGTTGTTGAACCATGCGCATTCAAGACTGATTGTTACATAATAATATATGTTGTGCTTGAAACCTGGAAACAAATCAATACTATGGTGGTATGTTATATTCAAATACACAGCGGTTTCTGCACTTGCTTGCGACTGGCACTGAAGATCCCTGCGTGAAAGGAGGACGCATGGCTGCACTTTGGGAGCTATGGAACAACGCGGCGGGCATTCGTTTCATGCCTTCCCGAAAGTATATCCGCACCGCCTGCCTGGCTATCAGGGAAAGAATCTTTCATGCGTTCCGCAGGCCTGATCGGCAGGTTTGGGGGTCCGCGCGATGTGTGTGTGTGTGTGTGTGTGTGTGTGTTGTGTTTGTGTTTGTCTGCATGTGTGTGTGTGTGTTTGTGTGTTTGTGTTTTGGTATTTTTGCGTTTTTTTTTTTTTTTTTGTTGTGTTGTGTTTTTGTGTGTTTGTGTGTTTGTGTTTTTGTGTGTTTGTGTGTTTGTGTGTTTGTGTGTGTGTGTGTTTGTGTGTGTGTGTGTGCGTGTGTGTGTGTGTGTGGTGTGCGTGTGAGTGTGCGTGTGCGTGTGCGTGTGCGTGTGCGTGCGTGCGTGTGCGTGTGCGTGTGCGTGTGCGTGTGCGTGTGCGTGTGCGTGTGCGTGTGCGTGTGCGTGTGCGTGTGCGTGTGCGTGTGCGTGTGCGTGTGGTGTGCGTGTGCGTGTGCGTGCGCGTGCGTGCGTGCGTGCGTGCGTGCGTGCGTGTGCGTGTGCGTGTGCGTGCGTGCGTGCGTGCGTGCGTGCGTGCGTGTGTGTGTGTGTGTGTGTGTGTGTGTGTGTGTGTGTTTTTGTGTTTGTGTTTGTGTTTGTGTTTGTGTTTGTGTTTGTGTTTGTGTTTGTGTTTGTGTTTGTGTTTGTGTTTGTGTTTGTGTTTGTGTTTGTGTTTGTGTTTGTGTTTGTGTTGTGTGTTTGTGTTTGTGTTTGTGTTTGTGTTTGTGTTTGTGTTTGTGTTTGTGTTTGTGTTTGTGTTTGTTTGTGTTTGTTTGTGTTTGTGTTTATGTTTGTTTGTGTGTGTGTTTGTGTTTGTGTGTTTGTGCTTATGTTTATGTTTGTGTGTGTGCTTGTGTTGTTGTGTCGTTGTGTGTTTGTGTTCGTGTTTGTGTTTGTCTTTGAGTTTTTGTTCGTGTGTGGTGTGGCTGTGTGTTTGTGTGTGTGTGTGTGTTTAGGATAGGGCCAATGTGAGGCATAGTCTGCTTCTGATTGCTCAACAAGTGCCAGCCCGGATTCCACAGTATGTCAAACTGTGTGCGCGTTGATATTCAGCCCAGCTCGACACCCATATTTGACTCCTTGCACCTGCTGTTTTGGGCGCTGTGGAATCCTGAGAGAGCGAGGTGAAGAACCTGGGCGACGAATCAAAGGCGCCAGCGGAAGTGTTCCAATATGCGCGATTTGACCCCTTTTCTGCGTGTTTGTCTCCGGCCGGCCTTCAAGTATGGGATTTCCTCGTTCGTATCTTGTCCTTTTGTGTTCCAAGGTGTGGCTTTTCCCCACACAAACACCCCACACCATGAGGTGTGTTTTTATTCCTTCTACTGGGCATGTGCATCAAGAATCATGGCTTCCAAGGCAATCGTGCTCGTGGTTTGGATTGGTTTGAGGTTTGGAGCCCCCGGTTCTTCTGGAGGGTAAATGGGAAACCCACCCAACCTGCACACCTCTAAACCGCTGATTCGGCTCCAGACCAGCAACTAGAGAAGGCTATTTATTGTCTACTTGAAGCTTTGGATGTTGCACTACCCCTGCGTTGTTTTATTGTTTGGGGAGGACCTGGCTCCCAACTGGAGTAGTTTTCCAAGGTGTTTTAGGGCTGTTTGTCTGTGCCTATGGGAATGCCTGCAAATGGGACCGCAACATGGTTGGTGTTCTTTGGGTTTTCCTTCCAAACCACTATGCGGGTACCATTGACAAAGGTCTGAGAGAATCAATTGCAGGGGATGCACACGGACCAAATGACCATATTATTGACTCATCAAACTCAGGCAGTTGGGGACACGATGGATACTCACTTTAAATAGCTCGCATAGGGCCTTACCTCTATTTGCTGAAGCACATGTTATCTATCCTTTCTGGACATTGTATTTGTTCAAGGGGACTTGAAGGCAAATGGAGGTTACCAAGCTTCATCAGTTGAGAACACAGCGAACCGTAGCTCATGCGCCCCTGAGGCAACGCCCACGCCCTGCCGACAGCGGTTGGACCTTCAAGGCACGGCATTTTAGTGGGACGGGATGTATGGGTGGCTCGCCTTTTTTTTTAAGGAATGGACCCCAAAGTTTGGTGGCTCCCAGCCATCCCATTAGCTTTTTAGCCTTTTAGTGTTTACTGGGGTTTTCCATTTAGCCCTGTCTTACACCAACGTTCCCTAGGAGATGAAATCAAGCTTTCCAGCATGCCATGCGAACGCTAAGTAGCAAAACCCTGCTGTGCGACTACCTCAACACATTCGGAAATGCTGCCAACTTGTCCAAGCCTTTAAAATTGCCCCGCCGGAAATTTGACATCTGGCCAGAAGATGGCATATACACAGCTAAAGGTTTGCTCGACAATGCCAACAGGTGGCGGGTTGCTCATGTGGGGATGTGCCGCAAGTCTCGTGGGTCCTAATGTTCTGAATTCTCTGCCTGCAACGTGAATAGCACTTGGGCAGAGATGCACACAATTCAGAGGCCAAACCGGCTTCTTGTTCGCTTGTCAATAACAGGCCGGCGAGCTAACCGGGCAGCATGGAGGTCACTAAAAGTTAAACTTTTAGCGGGGGATCTGAGGACAGCCCAGAAAATGGCTTCGGGCTTCCCTTCAGTTTCCCTTTACATCCACACACAACTTGGGGTGCCGCGCCTCAAGAAGACGAGCCCACGTGATACGTGGGTGAAGCATGCTCATTTGTTCCTATTGCGCGGCCGGTCCAAGAACCGATTCGCTTGTTCGGGACATCGCGTCGAGTTTAAACTATGTTTCAAGTGTTTGGAAAGAGGACGCTGGCATGAAACGCCAGAACAAAGGAAAACAAGACGGGACAGGGCGAGCGCAAGAGAGCTAGTGTCACAGGACTTGCCATGAACTTTATGGCAAAACAGCGCAAGAGCCGCGTACGAGCGACGCAAGAGAGCCCTCCCCGATAGGATAACAGGTGATGGCGCATCCGATCGTGGCTGTTTGTAATAGCCGAATTGCTGCACAACTTTGAACTAGGAACAGAAACAAAAGCAGGGGGCTGCAAGGAACAGACCTTTCTTTTTCTTTGCAGGCCCATCTTTCCTTCTTTTGCGCTTTCCTTTTCTGTAGTGAACAACCACCGCAAGAGGACGCAAAGATGAGCGCAGAACGCAATTGGAGCACAAATTTAGAACACCCCCATTTTTTCCACTGCGGGAGAGAGAGCCAATGATCAACCAGGTGGGTGTTGTACTATCAGGGGAGCCTCGACTTGAAGGTAAAGCTTGTCTAGTTGAACAAAGTGTATACTCAAGAAAATACGTTTAGCTGATGTTTCGAGGGCTTTCATGACGATCCTTGTAACTATGAAAGGAAGTAGTAGTGGCAGGAGTATTGGCAATACTTTTGTAAGGCGAGATGCGTGTTTTTTTAGTTCACTTGTTGAATTTGTGTTTTGTCATGCCTGGTTTTTGGAAGGCAGACAGGGGCGTTTTCTAGCAAAGGGGTGTCGGTGGGTGCCTTCAAGAGTATTCTCGGCTGAGTGGACCGGTAGAAAGGCTAAGGCGTGAAGCGCGAAGTCAGGGAAGCATCGTCGGAGCGTTCTTTGTAGAGTGGACATACAGTCGGATGGAAGCCTAGCACCATTTCCATGGCGGAAAAGCTAAGGTGGAAGCCCTAGAATGGCAGTGTTGGATTGCTTCCTTTTTTTTCAATCTCTCCAATGCTTCACCTAGGTCCCCCAGTAGTGCTCTTTTACCGTTTCTTTTCTGGGGGAGGGTCCCCCTACTAAAACAGACTACAGAAGAAAGAGTACCCTTAGTCTAACCTCTCTACTGGAGGACCTAGTCACTGTTGTTGGTATGTGTTTAGATTGTCTTTGTGTTCTGTTCGCTTTGAGCAGGGGGCTGCAGAAAAGAAAGTGTTTCTGCTATCTCAAAGGCTGGAAATCCCCAACAGCTGGCAGCTTTGGGGAAGGGTTCCTGAAGGTTCCGGAACTGTGGGGGATAATACTTTGTATCTTTGAATCTCATACTCACTTCCTGAGTTCACGTGGCTTTAGTCACGTTTGGGGTTTGGACCATTTTAGGTCTTAGGTTTGTTTAGTTTTTCACCTTTCGAGCAAACACACAGTTCATGAGAATTGGTCACCTTTTGTTACCATTTGAGTGGCAAACCAAAAGTTCTTAGATGTTTTTTGGGACCATTTTAGGTTTTTTGTCACCTTTTGAGCAACCACACAGTTCCTTTTGGACGTTGTTTCACCTTTTGGACGTTTTTTGGGGACCCTCCGCTCGTTGGGACGTGATTTCAGGGAGACCTTTGGCAGAACCATCCGATCCATGCAGGTGCTGGGACCCGCTTCCGGCCGCCCAGGCGTCGGATGAATTGTGGTTTGGACTTTCCCAAGGACGAGCCACGAGTGGGAAGACCAGTTTGGGTGGTGCTTGTTTTTGTTAGGGAGTTTTTGTGTGGCGTTTTTGTTGTTTTTGTGTTTTTTTTGGGGGGGGAGGTTGTTGGTTGGTTGTTTCTTTTACGGGGGAACCAATGGGACAACTCTCATTTTGGGCTGTGTCTTTTTTTAGGCAGCCCCATTTTGGTTGATTTTGGTTGATTTTGGTTGGTCTTAAGGGGACACCAAAAGGACACCTGTCATTTTGGGGGGGAACCGTTGATCTGAGTGTTCATCCAACTGGCACGAAAGTGCGCGAAAGTGCGCGAAATTCCATTGTGGGCGGAGGCATTGTCCAAACTCGAATGTGAAGCTTGGCACGATCTCCGCAGAACTTTGCCGTCAACTAAATCCAAATGGGGGTTGATCAATTAATATTCCCTTCGGCCCCTAGTTTTGACTATGGCTATCTTGTCCCAGTGGTTGAAGTATCATCATCTTACTGGTTTTCCAACCAATGGTCATCCCATGTAAGGGACCTTTTGATCAACCCCGAAATCAAAGGTGCCATCTGGTTTCACACAAGTGTAAATGACGGAGGTGAGTTTCCGAACGCTGCGTTTCCAGTCATTCAAACGCTGCGACCCAATGCATGGTACATGTTCCGGGTTGTCTTGGTTCCTGCTTGTACTTAGGGAATCAGCCCAGTGGCATGGGTATGCCTGCGAATTGAACCAACCAAATCAGGTCGGCGTGTTCGTTTTTGGACTTGGACCCCCCAAAGTGCTGAGTTTCCTTTTGGTTTTCCTTTAGGCCCAGAAACAAAAAGGGTTTCCCTCACAAAAAGACGCGGGCTTGGCGAAAAAGCTTTGAGCAGTAAGGGCCCAATGTTGCGATTTGAAGAGCCCCATGAAAGTCGGTCCTGGACTGGAAGCTGAGCTTAGAATTCGATTGATGTGTGCGTCAGGCAGTCACGTGCTTCCAGTGGCGCTTGCCACTAGTAGGTGACCGATTGGGTTTCTGATCAGGTTTTGTGTCCTCCCTGGCCTACTATAGTGGCTTGCCTGGAAGCGCTGGGTGTGACAGGCGTGCTTTTGCTCTAAGAGACAAAGCGACACAGAAGAGTGGACGTCCCCGCAGGCTCCTTTTTGCTTTGTGGTGCTGCTCCGTTCTTCGCAGTTGGGCAGAGATCCCTTTTTAAATACACATTCAAGCAAGAAGTATGAGTTGACACCTTTATGAGGGCTTAATCCCCCATTCTCATGCATTGCGCTCAACCACTCGCCGTGTTTCTGCTTGGTATTTTGCGGGGAAGCATGCGGCTCTCCGCACATGGGGAAGTGCGTGTTTTGGTAGTTTCCTAGAAAAATGCTGGTCTGGGTATGGCGAAAATTTAAACAGGAGGGGCAAACCGCAGGTTTCGGTCTATGTTTCCACTTATCAGGGCAACCAATTTTGGAATTCCGTTTTTTGGAGCCACACACATCTCCCTGCATGGGAACGTTTTGTCTTTTGCTTCCTTGCCGTGTCACTCCCGTAGGCCAGCGCCGAAATGGCGCGACGAGAGTGAGTTCAAACCGAATGCCTTGGCCTCAAGCGACTTGCAACTCTGAAAGCTAAGGGCTGCAGACTGTGCCCTAAATTTTTTTCGGGGTACGCGTGAACCAAGTTACCTCATGTTTGTAATGTTAGCCCCTTGCGTTGGACGAATCTGGCATATCACGCAATATTGTCCAGGGGCCGGCAGTTGCTACACAGGCTTCTGGCCCTCCCTTGGCACCTAAGGAGACTGAACGACCCCTTTTTACCCCCCAAAAGCCATCAGGAGGTACCAAGGGACCCTCTGGGTGGCGCTTGCCTTTTGAGATCCGAGTCGAAAGATCGAGCCGATCGGCAGGGTCCTGGTCTGCCAGGCCAGCGAGAGGCCAGCTTTGGGGCGGCTCCTTAAAGAGCAGCTCCAAATCAACCTGAAGTGGGGCGGTGGTCAAATCATTTTTTCAGCTGCCTTCCAAGTTCGGCTTTTCAGAGATGTCGCTTTGGCATTGAGAGCATGCGTGCTGCTCCTTTTCACGGCGGGAACTGGCTTTGATTCCTTCGATGGTTTAATGCAGTTGCTCCATATTCCATTCAATTGCAGGGCGCGGCCGTAAATTTGACATCTTGCTTAAGCAACAGTTCGAGCATCATCATCACCATTTGTTTGCATGCCGCCTGTCGCCTTCTTGGCATGTGCTTGAACAGTGAGCGGGGAATGTTCATCGTAGGTGTGTTTGTGCGCGTGTGTGCATGATCGTGTATCTTTGTGTTTGGCGAACATTCGCGAGGCGTTTGCGCCTGACCATCAGGAAGCAGAGGCGCCGGCGTTGCGTCACACGAGCTTGATCAAATGTACTTGGCATTACGAGGTGGTGCGGTGGTTTGACAAAAGGAATATGTTCCAGACACCAATGTGATTGACACTTCAGAGCTTCCACATCATGGCCGAATTGGCTGTGGCTCAGATAACGTTCCCCACAATGGCAGCTTGGTAAGAGGAAACAAAAACTAACATCTGTGTAACCCGGCCTACTTAACTTTGAGCTACACCCATGTCCATCAAAGACCTGGAATTGCCGGTTGCTTAAGGCCAGCTTTAGCCTGCAGAGAAGGCTGTAAGACTCCGACTTGGCTTGTATGCTGCATGATGGCAGCCTGGTGTGCTACGTAGAGGAAACAAACAAAGCAATGCCATGCTTATGTTCTAGCTGTACCCTCCCCATTCTCTTCGCGGAACCTTCTCTTCAGAAAAGGGGCCAAACCCTGAAAAATGGGTGGTTTCTAAAGAGAAATATGGCTGAAGAGAATGGGGAATCAAACCTTGGATACGTGCTGGCCATGACACCCGTTGTGTACTTTTGTTCAAAGGCCCTGCGGCAACGATTGTGTTCCATCCAAAAACCTTGTAAAAAGAGTGCTCTCATTCTTGCGCTGAGTTTCTTCATATACACTACTGCAGGCCAAGTTGTTGTTGTTGTTTTTTTGGGGGGGGGGATTGTAGACGAAGAAGGGCAATATTTATAGTGATTGTCCCAGTCGTGTGTGTCTTGGCCGAGCGTGTTGAGCTTTTGGAGCATCAGCGTGACGCAGTAACCGAGTAGGTTCCTCACTTTCCTGCATTGTGACCTCCAAAAATGGACCCACCAGTAAATCATACTCCCGACAGTTTAACATGGAACACAAAACCGACAATTTTAGAGGAATATCCTCTGGAGGACCCATATGCTGTATTATTTGTTGGGTTCCATGTGAATTTGGTGGGGAGTAAGTTCTGAAGGTGACCCTTGCGATTGCCGGTTGCGCACTGGAGAGGCCCTTGCGCTTGCTCTGCGACGCGCGGAGGCACGCGGCGTGTCACCGCATTTGTATGCTTGATGCTGCCAAGTGGGAAGAGAGGGACGGATAGAGATGAGAGAATAGGTTGGAAATGAGAGGAGCAGCTCTTCACAAACGAGCATGTTATTTTGGCGTGGCAAGCGGTTTGGTTTCGTTCCGGCTTCCTTGCTTTGTGTGTGTATGATCCTTCAGAGTGGGACCCTGTGTTTACTGCAAGCAACAACAAAATTAATCCGCTCCCCCAATTAATGAATGACCCCAATTAATAATAAATGCAAATCCGGGGCCCGGGACCAGATTTCCACTCCACACAATTGATTTTCCATTGCGCCAATACTAAACCAATACTAACGTCTTGGAATCCTTATTAGGGGGCACTTTTGGCAAGCTTCCAGCCTCACTTTTCAACAGGTGGGTTCCTCAATTCCCCAAAAGGTTGCTTTCCCAAAAGCTGGCTTCTCAAAAGGTTGGGTTCTTTTGGTGGGTTCCCAAAAAGGTTGTTCTTGACTCTGTTGTCCCTGGCTGTCCCTGACTCCCTGGCTGGCTGCGTTTGTCACCTGGCTGCGGTCTGTCTGGTCTGGCTGCCTGGCTGGCTGTTCTCCAACATCTGGCGCAAGATGGCCATCTGGCTGGGGTCCAAGGACTGCACGAGGCTCTGCAAGGACTGCTCCGTGTGTCCATCCTGGCCACCAGTCTGGCTGCCTTGACCATCTCCAGCCATTGCTGCCGCCCAGATCAGCAAAATGCTGTCTGGTCTGAGTTTTCTGCCTGCCTGTGCCCTACTGGCTGACTACTGGCTGCCTTCCTATCACTGAATGCATGTCTGGCTGTCTTGAAACCCACACTGCCTTCTCGAGCACTGGACTGTCTCGCAGTCAATCACAAGCTGGCTACCTAACCTGTCTGGCTGCACCCCAAATGTGTTTTTTTTTAATTGGGTCCTTTAATTATTGGGGTGTCCCTCAAAAGAAAACATGTCCCCGTACATGCTGGCTAATTAATTTACCTGCCTGGCTGCAAACAAACAACCAGTAAACTGGTAAACAAATAATTAGAATGATACATCAAATTTCCTTATTGAACCGCTTACTCGCGGACCTTACAATTCAATCCATTTCATCCAAATCCTACGTGAACCCTCACATTGTTGGAAAAGCAAAAAGAAGCCAACCCCAAAAACCCCAATTAAAATAAATATATATTTTTGGGGGGATTTATTTATAATAGGGGGGGGGGGCGTATTTATTAATAGGGGGAAGAGATTACCCTTGGCAGGTGCTGTTGGGTCGCGATATCCGTTTTTTGTTTGTGCCGGGGGGTTTGCGGGCAGCGACCAGGACACTTTGGACTTAATTGAGAGGGAGCGGTTTTAATTTGTCATCATGTCTTCCGCATGGTATGAACTCGGTAACGGCGCACATGAGAATTTGTGAGCAGACGTCTGTGTGTTGGCAATTTGCCGCTATCCGGGATGAAACAGCCAGGTTCCAGCATCTTCTTTTTTTGTTCAGCCCAAAGTCCGAAAGCCCAAGCCCCACGCTGTACAAGCTGCTGGCTGCATCTTGCTTTTGACTAAGTGGTTGCCAGCTGACGCAGAAGCACCGCACAGGCCGCCCCGGAGCAGGCCGAGGCGCGCACTCACGAAGGGCTGCGCAGATGCGCAGATGCGACTTCGGAGCAAAACTCAACGGAGCTTGCAATTGTCCATATGGGAGTCGTTCTAAAGGTCATAAGGAGTTTAGTATTCGGTGGCCATCGGTGCTGGTTGAGGTAGCTCCGCGAAAGATCCGCGGCGGAGTTGCGAAAGTAACGTGTTGTGTCCGCGGAAGTTTTGCGTAACTGTATCTTGTAAATCCGTGATATGTTAAACCATTCATCTTTTCTGCTGAGCTTTCCTTCCAGGCTGATTAAAACTTCTTGGTTTTTTGGCTCTAGTAAAGCCTGGTGAGGCTACAGTTTGATACCCTGCTTGGCTGGTTAGTGCTCCAAGTGTGTGTCTGTGTGCGTGTGTGTGTCTGTGGATGTTAGTCGATGGCTTTACGCTCTGAAATGTGGGTGATTTTTGCGCGAAAGTTCCTTGAAAGATCTGCGAAAGCCCGCGCGCGAAAGCGCAGGCTTCGATTGCAAGGGGAGGTACTTTCTGAGCGCTGCGCTAGTCAGTGTACTGAGTGTACTAGCTTGGTACTGAAAAGTTGCGACGTCAGGCTGGAGCTGCGCGGCTTGCCTGCTGGAACTACGGAAGTGCATTTCGTCTGCTGGTACTGAAAAGTTGCGGCTTTCTAGCCGGAGCTGCGGAGGTGCATATCATGTACTACCCCTGTGAGGAAAGGTTGCGACTTGACAGCAGAAGCTGAGGAAACGCACTTCCCGCACTTCACTGGTACTTAAAAGCTGGGACTTTCTGACTTGAGCAATTCAAAGTGCATGAATCTGCGAAAGAATGGCCGTCTCGAGACGAAGGAATGTAGAACAACCACCATATACATATAACATGTTCCATCCCCCACTCCAAGAAAATGCATATAGGGGGTGGACCTAGGTACCATATGCTTTGTATTTTATGCAGTTTTTCTCCACATGATATGTTATTGGTGAGATTACATGGGATTTGCCTTGGCAACATGTCTGGTCACATGTTGAAACAAGTGTGAGAGCATGTATGTGAGAGCATGTGATCCTTGCCCACCCCGGCGCCACCTTCGACAAGCGAATTGCGCGCATATTGATGTTGGACAATGACACCACCGTTCCAGAAGGTTTCCTGTCATGTTCCCTTGGTAGGTACAAACGGGGGGGGTGTTCCTTTTGTGGGTACAAACAGGGGGTGTGTGTTCCCGTTGCGGGTACAAAGGGGGGAAATGTATGGAAGGCAGGGCAATATTTTCCCAATTAGGGATGACACACTTGCGCATGCTTTGCTAGGCGCAAGTACTTGAGCTATGCCGGCAAGAAGCCGGGCGCACGACTGCTTTTCTTGCGCTTGTTCTTGCCTTGCCCAAGCAATTGGAGAATGAAACGGTCTGTCGATGCGCCAGCTGTTAGGTGCACACTTTTCGCCGGGCGCACCTTGAGCTCGATCAGCAGGAGGAAGAGGCGCGCACGGTGTCGCAATTGTCTACCACTCATGGCGAATCGTTTCAAGCGGAGTGTGTGACAGAGGATGTGAGAGATGTGTGTGCTTGCACACTTGATAGCTTGGCAGACTTGCAGCGTGCAAGCAGCCTGATTCAAGTTGCTGTTGTTTTGAAGAACCTGTAGTTTATCGTTTGGATTTGAATTGCTGATTTTCCAGGAGGGGCTAAGTAGAACCTTGTTGCTCCTCGCAGCTTGGTACAAGCCTACCACTTTTTGCCCCGGGCAAGTGCTTTGCTGTCGAGTAGAATCTTCGTGGCAGGGTAGGCGGGGCCGTTCGTTTGTACCCACCAAGGGAACCCCCCCATTTGTACATGCAAAACACACACACAGTGGCAAGGCTCTTGACTCACTGCGTGTTTCATAACCACCAACCCAAAAATGCTGCGCGGGTGCATGAAGTCGGTAGAAATGTCAGCATGTGTTGCTCCGGTATGCTGGAGCAAGAAACACAAAACAACATGATGTAAGCAGGGCATCCCGAACAAAACAAAGCAAGCCCCCCCAGTGTGAACAGGCACACGCACGCACACACACGGGGCTGTTTGCTGCATTCGCAAAGCAAGCTTAGGAATCTGTCGGCCATTGCTGACACAAGAGAGCTGTTGCGATGTTGCTCGCTAGGCGGCCTTGTCGAAGGGACCGAGGGTCGCTCTCTTTTTTGGTGTGTGTGTGTTTGGTGACAGCGAAAGCACGTGAAGGTGAGGCATCGCTTTTTGCCGTCCAGGCACGAGTGCTCGAGCGCCAGCAAGAAGAGGCCAGGTGCTGCCACGAGCAGCGCGAGCTGATCCTGGTTTTAATTGGTTTGCTTCCACTTGCCACTGTCCACCTGAATTATTCCTGCGTTCTTGCTTGAACGTATAATAGAAAGGCGTATAGTTTCATTAAGTTATTTGGCGTGGCCTTTCTTTTCTTCTTTGTTCCAACATGGGAAGGTAGCGAAAGCGGTCGCCGGCATTGGTGTTTGAGCTTGACAATCACCTGTTTAATTTTGCGAATGGCATTGATTTGTATGTTGTTATGTGACGTTGTGTGTTCCATCCGGATGCAGTCCCGGCACTTTGCTGCTGATTGCAAGCATAGCGATCATTGCTGCACAGCGCTTTTGAGAGGCACTTGCGCTTGACCAGCACCGGGAGGCGGAGGCAGAGGCGCACCACATGGCGCATTTGTATGATTGGCACGGTGAATGCTGGTTTCGGGAACAGGGTGTGACGGACGTGTTTGCGCTTCAAGACATATCATGGGCACGGCACCTGACAATGCATGTAAAGCTTTGACCCGTCAGCAGCAGCATTGCACGAGCGGTCAATGTGTGGTTTTGGCCGTACGAGCGTTGTATTTTAGTGTCAGATTTAAGCATTTTAGAGCCTATTGGCAGAGGAATCTGAGCAAGATTCTACCTTCAGTCACATTCTCTCTGATAACTTATGAACACATGATATATGTCGAGTAAGGCATTGTTTCCCCAAGCAACAACATGTCTATTCATGTCATGTTTGTGCAATGATGCCCACTGCGCAAATATGTTCGCAGGTTCTCTGGCAGCAACGGTTGTGCGACGTGCAGCAGGCGTGGGCACAAGGGATCTAGGTGACATGTTGCGGCAAACAATACCTACTGAAGGCAGGGATTTGGCATTGAGGATGTGGAGCAAACTCGGCAGTCCCTCCTTGTTTTCTTTCCCCGTTGGGATTTGAAAGGGAGGGTCGTCGAAAATGTGTTTCCGCATTTTGCAAGTTTGTTGAGTACTGCAAAAGCACCTGAACTGGTGAGCAGCATATTTTCGTGCCGCCCAGGCACATGTTCTTGAGCGCCAGCAAGAAGAGGCCAGGTGCTGCCACGAGCAGCACGAGCTGATCCTGGTTTTAATTGGTTTGCTTCCACTTGCCACTGTCCACCTGAATTATTCCTGCGTTCTTGCTTGAACGTATAATATAAAGGCGTATAGTTTCATTAAGTTATTTGGCGTGGCCTTTCTTTTCTTCTTGTTGCAGCATGGGAAGGTAGCGAAAGCGGTCGCCGGCATTGGTGTTTGAGCGTGACAATCACCTGTTTAATTTTGCGAATGGCATTGATTTGTATGTTGTTATGTGACGTTGTGTGTTCCAACCGGATGCAGTCCCGGCACTTTGCTGCTGATTGCAAGCATAGCGATCATTGCTGCACAGCGCTTTTGAGAGGCACTTGCGCTTGACCAGCGCCGGGAGGCGGAGGCAGAGGCGCACCACATGGCGCACTTGTATGATTGGCACGGTGAATGCTGGTTTCGGGAACAGGGTGTGACGGACGTGTTTGCGCTTCAAGACATATCATGGGCACGTCACCTGACAATGCATGTAAAGCGTTGACCCGTCAGCAGCAGCATTGCACGAGCGGTCAATGTGTGGTTTTGGCCGTACGAGCGTTGTATTTTAGTTTCAGATTTAAGCATTTTAGAGCCTATTGGCAGAGGAATCTGAGCAAGATTCTACCGTCAGTCACATTCTCTCTGATAACTTATGAACACATGATATTTGTCGAGTAAGGCATTGTTTCCCCAAGCAACAACATGTCTATTCATGTCATGTTTGTGCAATGATGCCCACTGCGCAAATATGTTCGCAGGTTCTCTGGCAGCAACGGTTGTGCGACGTGCAGCAGGCGTGGGCACAAGGGATCTAGGTGACATGTTGCGGCAAACAATATCTACTGAAGGCAGGGATTTGGCATTGAGGATGTGGAGCAAACTCGGCAGTCCCTCCTTGTTTTCTTTCCCCGTTGGGATTTGAAAGGGAGGGTCGTCGAAAATGTGTTTTCCGCATTTTGCAAGTTTGTTGAGTACTGCAAAAGCACCTGAACTGGTGAGCAGCATATTTTCGTGCCGCCCAGGCACATGTTCTTGAGCGCCAGCAAGAAGAGGCCAGGTGCTGCCACGAGCAGCACGAGCTGATCCTGGTTTTAATTGGTTTGCTTCCACTTGCCACTGTCCACCTGAATTATTCCTGCGTTCTTGCTTGAACGTATAATAGAAAGGCGTATAGTTTCATTAAGTTATTTGGCGTGGCCTTTCTTTTCTTCTTTGTTCCAACATGGGAAGGTAGCGAAAGCGGTCGCCGGCATTGGTGTTTGAGCTTGACAATCACCTGTTTAATTTTGCGAATGGCATTGATTTGTACGTTGTTATGTGACGTTGTGTGTTCCAACCGGATGCAGTCCCGGCACTTTGCTGCTGATTGCAAGCATAGCGATCATTGCTGCACAGCGCTTTTGAGAGGCACTTGCGCTTGACCGGCACCGGGAGGCGGAGGCAGAGGCGCACCACATGGCGCATTTGTATGATTGGCACGGTGAATGCTGGTTTCGGGAACAGGGTGTGACGGACGTGTTTGGTTTGCGCTTCAAGACATATCATGGGCACGTCACCTGACAATGCATGTAAAGCGTTGACCCGTCAGCAGCAGCATTGCACGAGCGGTCAATGTGTGGTTTTGGCCGTACGAGCGTTGTATTTTAGTTTCAGATTTAAGCATTTTAGAGCCTATTGGCAGAGGAATCTGAGCAAGATTCTACCTTCAGTCACATTCTCTCTGATAACTTATGAACACATGTAATATGTCGAGTAAGGCATTGTTTCCCCAAGCAACATCATGTCTATTCATGTCATGTTTGTGCAATGATGCCCACTGCGCAAATATGTTCGCAGGTTCTCTGGCAGCAACGGTTGTGCGACGTGCAGCAGGCGTGGGCACAAGGGATCTAGGTGACATGTTGCGGCAAACAATACCTACTGAAGGCAGGGATTTGGCATTGAGGATGTGGAGCAAACTCGGCAGTCCCTCCTTGTTTTCTTTCCCCGTTGGGATTTGAAAGGGAGGGTCGTCGAAAATGTGTTTTCCGCATTTTGCAAGTTTGTTGAGTACTGCAAAAGCACCTGAACTGGTGAGCAGCATATTTTTGTGCCGCCCAGGCACATGTTCTTGAGCGCCAGCAAGAAGAGGCCAGGTGCTGCCACGAGCAGCACGAGCTGATCCTGGTTTTAATTGGTTTGCTTCCACTTGCCACTGTCCACCTGAATTATTCCTGCGTTCTTGCTTGAACGTATAATATAAAGGCGTATAGTTTCATTAAGTTATTTGGCGTGGCCTTTCTTTTCTTCTTTGTTCCAACATGGGAAGGTAGCGAAAGCGGTCGCCGGCATTCGTGTTTGAGCTTGACAATCACCTGTTTAATTTTGCGAATGGCATTGATTTGTACGTTGTTATGTGACGTTGTGTGTTCCAACCGGATGCAGTCCCGGCACTTTGCTGCTGATTGCAAGCATAGCGATCATTGCTGCATAGCGCTTTTGAGAGGCACTTGCGCTTGACCAGCACCGGCAGGCGGAAGCAGAGGCGCACCGCATGGCGCATTTGTATGATTGGCACGGTGAATGCTGGTTTCGGGAACAGGGTGTGACGGACGTGTTTGCGCTTCAAGACATATCATGGGCACGGCACCTGACAATGCATGTAAAGCTTTGACCCGTTAGCAGCAGCATTGCACGAGCAGTCAATGTGTGGTTTTGGCCGTACGAGCGTTGTATTTTAGTTTCAGATTTAAGCACGTTAGAGCCTATTGGCAGAGGAATCTGAGCAAGATTCTACCTTCAGTCACATTCTCTCTGATAACTTATGAACACATGATATATGTCGAGTAAGGCATTATTTCCCCAAGCAACATCATGTCTATTCATGTCATGTTTGTGCAATGATGCCCACTGCGCAAATATGTTCGCAGGTTCTCTGGCAGCAACGGTTGTGCGACGTGCAGCAGGCGTGGGCACAAGGGATCTAGGTGACATGTTGCGGCAAACCATACCTACTGAAGGCAGGGATTTGGCATTGAGGATGTGGAGCGAACTCGGCAGTCCCTCCTTGTTCTCTTTCCTTGTTGGGATTTGAAAGGGAGGGTCGTCGAAAATGTATTTTCCGCATTTTGCAAGTTTGAGTACTGCAAAAGCACCTGAACTGGTGAGCAGCATATTTTCGTGCCGCCCAGGCACATGTTCTTGAGCGCCAGCAAGAAGAGGCCAGGTGCTGCCACGAGCAGCACGAGCTGATCCTGGTTTTAATTGTAAACGCTTCGCGTTGCCCGCCTCGGCCCAGCCTAGTTTGAGGGAAGGGTCAGGAACACCGAAATCCAGTGTTGGGAAGGTCCGAAGCCTACCGAAAGCTTGTGACCGCACCAGTTCGCCCGTGCTAGTTCGATGTTCGGAAGCCGTCCTGCTCAGACAGTCTCGGGCAGCTTGGCTGGTCCTTGCTTGCGTGGGTTGTTGGTTGAGCTGGGCCTGAAGCTAGTTTACGGCGGGCTGGGCAGCCGCACTGAGGGGGCTGGGCTATGGCTGGGCTGGGCCTGAGGCCAGTTTCAGACACGTCAGACAGGCCTGGCCAGCGCTAGGTGAGGCTCTTGGCGCTTGATGGGCTGAGGCCTGCGAGTCTGAAACAGGGTGGGCTTGGGTGAGGTTTGCTTAGGCGGGTTGCTGGTTGGGCTGGGCCTGAAGCTAGTCTCAGTTGCTGGCTGCTGGGCAGCCGGACTACGCTGTTGGTTGCGCCTGGAGCTTCGGCTGGGCGGGCTGGGCTGAGCTGTGCTTGGGCGGGTCGCTGGATGGGCAAGGCCTGTCTCATACACACTTGGGCCTGAGGCTGGGTAGCAAGTTGTGGAGCAGGAGGTCAAGGCCTGGCCAGCCTGGGCGGGCAGCCGGACTGGGGGGCTAAGCCACGTCAAACAGGCTTAGTAGCTGGCGTAGCTTGAGACCAGTCTCAGACACGTGAGACTGGTCGTTGGCCTGCCAGTCTCAGACACGTTAGACAAACCTGACCTGGCACGCTGGGCTGAGCCTGCTGTCTCAGCCACAAGGCTGCGAAGCCATGGGTGGGTTGCTGGCTGCCGGGCAGCCGGGGACTACACTGTGCTTGGGTGGGTTGCTGGATGGGCAAGGCCTGTTTCATACACACTTGGGCCTGAGGCTGGGTGGCGAGTTGCTGGCTGGGCTGGGCCTGAGGCCAGTCGCAGACACGTAAGACACGCCAGCAGGCGGGCTGAGGGACTGGGCCTGAGGCTAGTCTCAGGCTGGCATACTTTGAGACCAGTCTCAGACTGCGCCGAAGGGGCTGGGCCTGCTGGATGACTTGGGGCCAGACGCGAGCAGGACAGGCTTAGTAGATGCTTGAGACCAGTCTCAGACACGTGATGAGGCCAGTCTCAGACACGTTAGACAAACCTGACCTTGGCACGCTGGGCTCCTGCTGGTGGGCTGCGGGCTCAGCCACAAAAGTCATGGGTGGGTTGCTGGCTGCCGGGCTGCTGGCTCAAGGCCTGTTTCATACACACTTGGGCCTGAGGCTGGGTGGCGAGTTGCTGGCTGGGCTGGGCCTGAGGCCAGTCGCAGACACGTAAGACACGCCAGCAGGCAGGCTGAGGGACTGGGCCTAAGGCTAGTGACTGCGCGGCCTGAGGCCAGTCTCAGACACGTTAGACAAACCTGACCTTGGCACTGGGCTGCTGGCGGGCTGGGAGCTGGGGGCCGGCCTAGTGGTGGCATGCTCTGAGATGCGCCGGCCTGGGCTGGGCCAGCAGGCGGGTTGCTGGTTGGGCTGGGCCTGAGCCTAGTCTCGCAATTGTCAGCACATTTTCAACAAAAATGGACCCATGGAGCTGGACGCCGACGAAACCCGAAAATTTCAAGGCCCGCCGGACAGGATTTTGGGCCAGCCAACATGGGCGGAAAAATTTGGGTTGGGGAGGGGGTTGGGGGAGGGGAAAAGCGAAGATTCTTTGGAGAAGAGATCTGAGCGCCCTTGGCCCCTTTGGGGCCGAGGCGAATTGGTTTGCTTCCACTTGCCACTGTCCACCTGACTTATTCCTGCGTTCTTGCTTGAACGTATAATATAAATGCGTAAAGATTTATCAAGTTATTTGGCATGGCCTTTCTTTTATTCATTGTTCCAACATGGGGAGGAAGGCAGCAAAAGCGGTCGCCGGTATTGGTGTTTGAGCGTGACACTCACATGTTGAATTTTGGCATTGATTTGTATGTTGCTATGTGACGTTATGTGTTCCAACCGCATGCACTCCAGGCAGTTTGCTGCTGATGGCAAGCAGAGCGATCATTGCTGCACAGCTCTTTGGAGAGGCACTTGCGCTTGACCCGCACCGGCAGGCAGAGGCAGAGGCGCATATGTATGATTGGCACGGTGAATGATTATCTGAGGTTCAGAATTACGCGCTTTGGAGCCTATCGGCAAAGGAAGCTGAGCAAGATTCTACCTCCTGTCGCATTCTCTCTGAAAACTTCTAGCTTACGAACGTATTGTGTCAAGTCAGGCATCATTTCCGCAAGCAGCAGCATATCATGCGTTTGTGCCACGATGCCCACTGTGTAAATATTGTTCGCAGGTTCTGGAGCAGCAACGGTCGTGTGCCCTGCAGGAGGCGTAGCGCTTAATGCTGACATGTTGCAGCAAACCGTACCTATCAGAAACAGACAAGTGACCGGGGAAGGCAGGGATTTGACAGTGACCATTGGGTAGGCAGTGTCTCCTTGTTATCTTTCCCTGGGATTTGCAAGGGAGGAACACATCAGAACCGCAACAGATATCATCGCAATTTATGCCTGCCATGCTCATGCACAAGTCGATTTTGATCAAGCAGTCTGTTGCTTTCCGCTGCCCTGCGCTAGGCTGGTGCAGCAAGTTGTTGCTGTTGTGGGCAATGTCACAGAAAGCTGCTGGTTGTCAGCGGGCCCGTGGAAGAAGTTGCTTTGTGGCAGAGCAGTTTTGGCAATAGAGCGACCTTGTTCATATTTGTTGAGACAAGGCTGAATTGGCCTTGGACTTGATGTGTTAGTGGTTGCTCACACCAGACTTTAGCGTGTTGCAACGGCAGGGGGGCATGCCAGGACTGAATGCTTCAAGAGACTGACGGGCTATACAGACTTGCGAGAGCTGTTGAGCAAGCGGTTGATTTGTTGAAAGGAACGCGTGTCGTATCTTTTGTGTTAGGGCATATTGCAAGTTTGTGTGCAGCGAAAGCACTAGAACTGGTTAGGCATATTTGCTCGTGTCCAGGCACGTTTTCTTGAGCGCCAGCAAGAAGAGGCCAGGTGCAACCAAGAGCAGCAGCTGATTCGGGTTTTTGTTGGTGTTACTCCCACTTGCATCCACATGCGACTGGCCACCTGATTTTTCCAGCTTTCTTGCTTGAACTTAAAAGGCTTATCAGTTCATTAAGTTGTCCGGTGTGCGGCAACATACTCGTGATGATGGTTGCCTTTGCATTTTTTCAGTTCTATTCCGACAAGGGGCAGAAGGTAATTAATGCGATCGACAGCATCGTTGTTTGAGCTTGAAATGCACAACATGATTTGACAAATGGCATTGATTTGTATGTTGTTATGTGACGTTATGTGTTCCAAGCGGATGCACTCCAGGCAACTTGCTGCTGACTGCAAGCGTAGCGATCATTGCTGCGCAGCGCTTTTGAGAGGCACTTGCGCTTGACCAGCAGCGGCAGGCGGAGGCAGAGGCGCACCACATGTCGCATTTGTATGATTGGCACGGTGAATGCTGGTTCGGGCACGGGGGTGCGACGGACGTGTTAAGACATATGAGCACAGCACCTGGACAATGCATTTCGACCCGTAAGAAGCAGCATTGCACGAGCGGTCAATGTGTATTTTTGGCCTCAGATTTGAGTATTTCAGCGCCTGTCGGCAGAGGAATCTGAGCAAGATTCTACCTCTGATTCAGCACGTGAACTGGTGAGGCATATTCGCTCGTGTCCAGGCACATTTTCTTGCGCGCCAGCAAGAAGAGGCCAGGTGCAACCATTCGCAGCTGATTTTTGTTTTGGTTGGAATTACTCCACTTGCATCCACTTGTCACTGCCCACCTGGTTCTTTTAGCGTTCTTGCTTGCCTTAAAAGGCTTATCATTTCATTAAGTTATCCGGCGTGCGGCAACATACTCGTGATGACGGTTGCCTTTGCCTTTTTTCAGTTTTATTCCAACAAGGGGCAGAAGGTCATTGCGAATGCGGTCGCCAGCATTGGTGTCTGAGCTTGACATACACGAAATGATTTTGACGGATGGCATTGATTTTACGTCTATGTGCCGTTATGTGTTCCAACCTGATGCACTTCAGACAACTTGCTGCTGACTGCAAGCGTAGCGATCATTGCTGCGCAGCGCTTTTGAGAGGCACTTGCGCTTGACCAGCAGCGGCAGGCGGAGGCAGAGGCGCACCACATGTCGCATTTGTATGATTGGCACGGCGAATGCTGGTTTCGGGCACAGGGTGTGACGGACGTGTTTGCGCTTCAAGACTACGAGCACAGAACTTGCACAAGGCATTTCAATATTCGGCCCGAAAGAAGCAGCACTGCACGAGCAGTCAACGTGTGTTTTCGGCCTCAGATTCAAGTATGTTAGAGCCTGTTGGCAGAGGAATCTGAGCAAGATTCCACCTTCAGCACGTGAACTGGTGAGGCATACTCGATCGTGTCCAGGCACATTTTCTTGAGCGCCAGCAAGAAGAGGCCAGGTGCAACCAATCGCAGCAGCTGATTCGGGTTTCTGTTGGTTTTTCTCCCTTTTGCATCCACTTGCGACTCTCCACCTGATTTTTGCCATCGTTCTTGCTTGAACTCAACAGGCTTATCATTTCATTAAGTTATGCGGCCGGCGACGGACGTCCCCAAAACTGTAGCTTTGACGGAAGCCAAGAAGAAGTATTCGAAGCATCGGGTCTCAATACTGCTTTTTAAGGACACTTGAAATTTGGGACAGGGGGTTGGGGGGTGCTGGAAATGGTGAGGGCACCTTTTTGTTGCGGTCTCAAAGGAGAAAGGAACACCACCATTTTGGGGGTATCCCAAAGAACAGATACACAAATATGTCGTTTCCTGAGATAGGGGGCCACCCCAAAATGCCTGGTGTCCCCTGCTGCTTCCTGTCGGTTTCCTTGTGAAGTATCAACTGTTAAGCAGCCTCCAACTGGATTCCGACCTGCTCACATACGACGGGGGTCTGTGGCTATAGCATCCATGAGGCCATGAGGAGCAATGAAAAGGGTCACCCAATCTTTTGTCGTGCTTCAACATACTCGTGGTGATGGTTGCCCTTGCCTTTTTTCAGTTTTGTTCCAACAAGGGGCAGAAGGTAATTGGCGAATGCGATCGCCAGCATTGGTGTCTGAGCTTGACATGCACAAACTGAGTTTGATCGACGTTATGTGTTTCAACCGGATGCACTCCAGGCACTTTGCTGCTGATCTCAAGCATAGCGATCATTGCTGCACAGCGCTTTTGAGAGGCACTTGCTCTTGACCAGCACCGGCAGGCAGAGGCAGAGGCGCACCACATGGCGGATTTCTGTGATTGGCACGGTGAATGATTGTTTTGGGCGCAGGGTGTGACGGACGTGTTTGCGCTTCAAGGCATATCATGGGCACGGCACCTGACAATGCATGTAAAGCTTGGACCCGTCAGCAGCAGCATTGCACGAGCAGTCAATGTGTGGTTTTGGCCGTACGAGCGTTGTATTTTTGTTGCAGAATTAAGTATATTAGAGCCTACTGGCAGAGGAATCTGAGCAAGGTTCTACCTCCAGTCGCATTCTCTCTGAGAACTTCACGCCAAGCAAGGCATTACCCAATGTGTATATGTTTGCAGGTTCTCTGGCAGTATCGGTTGTGCGCCGTGCAGGAGGCGTAGCGCTTATTGCTGACATGTTGCGGCAAACCATACATATCAGGAAGAGACAAGTGACTGGGGAAGGCAAGGATTTGACAGTGACCATTGGGAAAGATGTGGAACGAACTTGGCAGTGTCTTCTTGTAATCTTTCCCTCGGATTTGAAAAGGAGGCGCACATCAGGACCGGAACAGAATGGAACAGACATTATCGGAATTTATGCCTGCCATGCCATGCCATGCCAATCGTACCTACGTACCTCATGCGCAACTCGCTTTTGTTCAACCAGTCTATTGCATGTGCTTTCCGCTGCCCGGCGGTAGGCTTGCGCAGCAAGTTCTTGCTGTTGGCAGTTTCTGACAAAGCTGCTGGTTGTCCGCAGGATCCTGGAAGTTGTGTTGCTGCAGTCTTGGCAAATATAATGACCTTGTTCGTTGTTGAGACAAGGCTGAATTGGCCTTGGTCTTGTTGTTAACACCATGGGTGAAGGATGTGTTAGTGGTAGCTTACACAAAACTATAGCGTGTTGCAAAAGCTGAGGGCAGGGGTGGAATGCCAGGACTGAATGCCTTAAGTTTCTGACGGGCTATGCAGACTTGGGAGAGCTGTTGAGCAAGCGGTTGATTTGTTGAAAGGAGCGAGTGTCGTATTTTTTGTGTTTTAGGGCATATTGCAAGTTTGTGTACAGCGAAGGCACGTGAACTGGTGACTCGTGTCCAGGCACATTTTCTTGAGCGCCAGCAAGAAGAGGCCAGGTGCAGCCAAGAGCAGCACGAGCTGTTCTGGTTTGTCTTGTTTCACTTGCACTGTCCACCTGAATTATATTCAGTGTGTTTGCATGTACTTGAATAGAGGCTTACCGTTGTGTTCATCATTAAGTTTTTCGGCGCGTGGCAAAGTTGTCACGCGAAGTGGTCTAGTCCTTAGTCCAAGCACGTGGAAGGCCAGTTTTGGTGGGTGCGTAACATTCCCCAGACTACAAACAGCGGCGCTGCTTGTTGCAGGCACATGTTGGCATCCAGATGCAATTCCCATTTTTGTAGGGGACCCGCTAAACTGGTGCTTTTCCCTTTGGTTTTCCTATAAAACCACTAAAACGAGGGCAATTACTGGTACCCTCAAGAAAAGACAGACCTGTGTGGTCCTTGCTGCACTGAGAGGCGGTTGCGCTTGACCAGCAGTGGCAGGCTCAGGCGCGCAGACTTTGACAGACGGAGATGCCCAGAGACGTGGCTTCTCTGCGTGGCAAGAAATCGAAGACCAGCTTCGGCATGAAAGAGGCTGCACAAGCTTCGGCCTTTTGTTCTTTTGGCTTGAAGGTTGTGTCCGTGCTCAAAAGATGATGTTTTGGGGTAGTTCTGTCACTCTGTCTGTCCTTGCAAAGACTAAAGTAAGTGGTGGTTAAATTATGCGAGCATAATATGATATGTTGTACTGGCAGAATGCATGCCCTTTGCTGTGTCAAATAATTTGTGTTGTTGTTGTCGTTGTTTTTCTTTAGACAACACATGTTGTATAAATATATATATATATATATGTATACCTCCACCTTCCAAAGGGTGCAAAAACACCGCCTGTTTAAGCACAAGTAGGTTTTGCTTTGGAACGGCGATCTTGTCAGGGAAGCGGCGATTCTTGATTGGGAAGCGCCGGGCGTGCCATGTCACATCGCATACTCTCAGCTGTCATGGCCCGGGCCCGTTCCTGTTGACGGCATCATTTCCGTCCCTGCATGCGCCTCTCCCACCCTCCTGCCCTTTTTCGCTCCTAGCACTACAGGTACGTGGCCGAGTGGCCATGGACCATAATTTTAGCCACTGCATGAAACAGCGAAATAAAACAGCGCCTTGCTTGCACAAAATTGGGCGGTTTTTTCAACAATTGCCGCTTCAGAAAAGCCACATGGAAACCCACCGGTTCAAGCGTACATTCGCCTCTCGGTTTTGCCCTTCATCGCTGCTCTGGCTCCTACTGGCGACGCAGCAGCTTTTGGCTGGCCTGGGCCTTGGCTCGATACCTCCGGTGAAGGGCTCGAGCTTTCACGAGGTAGAGTTGCAACACCCGCTTCAACAATTGCTTTTGATCTTGAAATCTTGCCAACTAGGTCTTCGTTTTGCTCACAGCTGTGTATGAGCGGGTTTGCTATTTTGCCTCAGGACAGCTTTGATTCCAACAAGTGTGTGGTTGAAAGAATGCACTTTTGGCTTCATGGCCCACCCTGCAAATTTGAGTTCCCGAAGAGCGACACCTGCCAGTTGCGCGTAAGTCTGCTGGAACTCATAGCCTGCGTGCAGCGCAGGCTTGGTCTGACGGTCTGACCAAAGCCCATGCTGATATAGAGCACTTGCGGGAATTCAACAGCAATCTCGCTTCCACGGCGCATCATGCGCAAGAGTGGGTGATCAAGTGGCGCTTGAATAAAGCCGCCAATGATGGCAACCAACCATTCCAAAGTAAGCATAACATCAGAGCCCTGGACATTAAACCATGGATAGCTATCCTTCGATTCAGATGGCGCACAAGGCGAGGGGAAAAGCGAAGTGGGCAAACACAAACTTGTGATACTCAGCCATCACGCGGGCCCATGTCTCAGCTGGATCACTTCAAAGTAGGGTGTGAGGTGGCCTTACTATTCCTCAGGGAACTTGTGCAGATCAATTTTGGGGACTGTGGGGACAACGGAATCCCGTACTCAATTTCTGGGGTCAGTACTCCATTTTTTAAAACACTCAATTTCTCTTTGAAGGGGAAATCAGTACTCAGTTTCTGAGACAGTACTAGACCGTCAGCACTTAATTTCTGAGGGGGGGTCAGTAATAGAATCCTGAGGGGAGGTACCAAAAACCCCTACTTGAGTCCCCCGAAGCCGAATGAGAAACTGCACGGGAAGCAATAGGCCCAACCATCAAATAATTGACAATTGTTTTTCGCGTCTCCTTCAAGCTCCCTTTCAAAGCAAATAATGTACAAATCCCCGATAGGGCCAAGTATCAGGTAGCTATGTTTGTTCTTTCGTTTTCTTGGCCACGAAAGCCCCTTTGCAAAGTGCCGGAGAAAGAATCGTATTGTGACATTGGGAGCGCAAGTTCTGAGGGGAGTTCTGAGAGGGGGTCAGCACGAAAGTGTTGAGGGGGGGGGGGGGGGTGAGTACTCAATCACATAGAAAAGTGAGGGCGATTACTCACAGTTGGTCTTTGTAGGGCCAAAGAGTTTAAACACACGCATGCACTTCCTCATGATCCTTGTGGTTCCGCGGAGACTGATTAAAGAAACTTCTTCCGCCCTGGTCACTTGCAAGCAGTTTTTTGGGGCATCCAAGAAAACAAGGAAAAAAGGGAAGCGCATGATGGTTGACCTTACTGTTTCTGCACAGCACAAGGTCTTTCGCTGGTACTTGTCGGCAACTTGAATTGAAGGCGGCTGACATGCACCACGTGGCTGGTTCCAACCCCACTACTGATTGAGCATTGCGTCCTTCGACACGAACTCTCCCTCAATGATCAACTCATTCGATTCCATTTCCATACGGAGTGGCTCGCATTCCTGCTGGAAGGACCCCAAGATCAGGCGTTTCGGGCTACGGCGAATGAAAGCAAAGGGTCTCTGCAGAATCCACCTCACAGATCTTCTCAATTTTTTTGGTGCCCCCTGCCATGCAATCAGCAATGATGGCTTCGGCTCTGTGAAGGTCCCGTTTACCGCCTTCGAAGCTTCGACACCCCGGCTTTGGCTTACTTATTCTTGTTGGCAACAGCATCGTCCATGTAAGGGATTTCATCGTTGTTTTCTTCAGGCTCCTGACATTTCCCTTCATCATCTTCCGACTCACACTCATCATTCTCCCAGCTGCAGCGTGGCTGCGCGATCGAGTTTGCTCTTGAGATCAACCACATCCGCCTTGGCAAGAGAAGTGGGAGATGCTTCCCTGGCCAAAGGCGTGGGCTCTGCAGGCCAGGAACCTTTGCCCAAGGGAGTCTCTTTGGCAGGGGCGGTGTGCACTTGGGTCGCAGCGAAGCTGGGTAAGGTGTAGACGGCCTGGGAAGGGCATACCCGTAGACCATAATTGCTTAACTGTTTATACCATCATGTTGCTTTTGCCCCGGGGCCAAGACACAGACTTCGAAGGACTGGGCGGAGCAAGTGGCTGAGTGTCCGTCCACTCTTTCTCTTTCTTGTTCTTCCGATTCTTGAGTTCCTGGCGTTCCTTCTGGATAGCCGGACTTGCAAGGCAAGGCGCGTCGAGTTCCATCAGCGTGGCACTGCTCCGCCAAAGTGGGACTTTCCTCCGCACCTTTCTTGCCAACCCACGGATGCGCAGGCAAGGTGCCCCATTGCTCGACAGTTCCTCAGCGGCCACCTGAGACTCCACCTTCCTCGGGACCAGGGGTGACGGAGAGTTTCGCCAAATACATTCTATGCGTTTTTTTCACGCAAACACTCAACTTTTGAAAAAATGTGAAAAATGAAACGGCGATCTTGGGCGACCAACCGGCGATCTTTCGCGGCCAAACGGCGATCTTTCCCGAACCAGAAATTCGCAACATTTTAGGCCACGCCCGTTTGCCCTTTTGCCCTTTCTGACGGATTTGGTGGCTCAAACGGCTTCGCGCGCAACATCCTGGCGCCGAAGATCCGCTAGACCCCCCAAACACGGCAACAAAAAGGGCAAACGGGCAAAGCCACGGCTTAAAATGTTGCGAATTTCTGGTTCGGGAAAGATCGCCGTTTGGCCGCGAAAGATCGCCGGTTGGTCGCCCAAGATCGCCGTTTTTTTCGCACTTTTTGGCAAGTTGAGTGTTTGCGTGAAAAAAACGCATAGAATGTATTTGGCGAAGCTCTCCGTCACCCCTGGTCCCTTTCAAACCTGAGATTGGAAAGGGAGGGAATAACATCCGGCCGCTGAGGAAGGTGGAGTCTCAGGTGGCCGCTGAGGAACTGTCGAGCAACGGGGCACCTTGCCTGCGCATCCGTGGGTTGGCAAGAAAGCTGCCGCACTGCATCACATTGCCCAGTCATAGACGCCTACCCTTTTCCTTAGGATGCTGGAGCAGGAAAGTCCAACTTCGGCGGAGCAATGCCACAGTGATGGAACTCGAAGCGCCTTGCCTTTTCCTTGCTGGGCTGCAAGACCGGCTATCCAGAAGGAACACCAGGAACTCAAGAATTGGAAGAACGCTCATCCACTTGCTCCGCCCAGTCCTTCGGATTCTGTGTCTTGGCCCCGGAGCAAAAGCAACATGATGGTATAAACAGTTAAGCGATTATGGTCTACGGGTATGCCCTTCACAGGCCGTCTACACCTTGCCCAGCTTCGCTGCGACCCAAGTGCACACCGCCCCTGCCAAAGAGACTCCCTTGGGCAAAGGTTCCTGGCCTGCAGAGCCCACGCCTTTGGCCAGGGAAGCATCCCACTTCTCTTGCCGAGGCGGATGTGGTTGATCTCAAGAGCAAACTCGATCGCGCAGCCACGCTGCAGTTGGGAGGATGATGAGTGTGAGTTAGAAGATGATGAAGGGAACTCTCAGGAACCTGAAGCAAACAACGATGACATCCCTTACATGGACGATGCTGTTGCCAACAAGAATCAGCCAAAGCCGGGAAAATTGCACTTGTCGGCATCGGCGAGGCGATCAAGGCTTCGAAGGCGGTAAACGGGACCTTCAAAGAACCGAGGCCATCATTGCTGACTGCATGGCAGGGGGCACAAAAAAGCATTGAGAAGATCTGTGGGGTGGATTCTGCAGAGACCCTTTGCTTTCATTCGCCGTAGCCTGAAACGCCTGATCTTAGGGTCCTTCCAGCAGGCATGCGGGCCACTCCGTATAAAAATGGAATCGAATGAGCTGATCATTGCAGGAGAGTTCGTGTCGAAGGACACAATGCTCAATCAGTGGGGTTGGAACCAGCCACGTGGTGCATGTCAGCCGCCTTCAATTCAAGTTGCCGACAAGTACCGGCGAAAGACCTTGTGCTGTGCAGAAACAGAAAGGTCAACCATGATGCGCTTCCCTCTTTTCCTTGTTTTCTTGGATCCCTCAAAAACCCGCTTGCAAGTGACCAGGGCGGAAGAAGTTTCTTTAATCAGTCTCCGCGGTTCACGAGGATGACGAGGAGGTTGATGCTTGTGTTTAAACTCTTTAGCCCTACAAAGACCAACTGTGAGTAATCGCCCTCACTTTTCTATGTGATTGAGTACTCACCCCCTCCTCAGGACTTTAGTACTGACCCCCCTCAGCACTCCTCTCAGAACTTGCGCTCCCCATGTCACAATGCGACTCTTTCGGACCAAGAGAACGCAAGAACAAAACTGGTATACATAGCTACCTGATACTTGGCTCTGTCGGGATTTGTAAACTAATTGAATTCAAAAGGAGCTTCAAGGAGACACAAAAAACAATTGTTAATTATTTGATGGTTGGCCCTATTGCTTCCCGAGCAGTTTCTCTTGCGGTTTTGGGGGACTCATGTAGGGGTTTTTGGTACCTCTTCTCAGGATTCTATTACTGACCCCCCTCAGAACTCCCCTCAGGAATTGAGTATTGGTTTGCCTTTCAAAAGAAATTGAGTGCCTCAGAAATTGACCCCCCAGAAATTGAGAACGGGATTCCGTTGTCCCCACAGTCCCCAAAATTGATCTGCGCAAGTTTTGTGAGGAATAGTAAGGCCAACTATGCAGCCAGTTCAATTGACACTGTGTGTGAGCGTTTGTTTGGGTATTCATATCCTATTTTGAAGTGACCCAGCTGAGACATGGTAGCTGAGTATGTTTGCCCATTTCGCTTCTCCCCTCGCCTTGTGCGCCATCTGAATCGAAGGATAGCTATCCATGGTTTAATGTCCAGGGCTCTGATGTTATGCTTACTTTGGAATGGTTGGTTGCCATCATTGGCGGCTTTATTCAAGCGCCACTTGATCACCCACTCTTGCGTATGATGCGCCGTGGAAGCGAGATTGCTGTCAAATTCCCGCAAGTGCTCTATATCAGCATGGGCTTTGGTCAGACCGAGCCTGCGCTGCAAGTTCCAGCAGCCTTATGGCAACTGGCAGGTGTCGCTCTTCGGGAACTCAATTTTGCAGGGTGGGCCATGAAGCCAAAAGTGCATTCTTTCAACCACACACTTGTTGAAATCAAAGCTGTCCTGAGGCAAGGTGCCATCAAAATAGCAAACCCGCTCATACACAGCTGTGAGCAAAACGAAGACCTAGTTGGCAAGATTTCAAGATCAAAAGCAATTGTTGAAGCGGGTGTTGCAACTCTACCTCGTGAAAGCTCGAGCCCTTCACCGGAGGTATCGAGCCAAGGCCCAGGCCAGCCAAAAGCCGCTGCGGGCAAAGTAGGGGCCAGAGCAGAGATGAAGGGCAAAACCGAGAGGTTAATGTACGCTTGAACCGGCGGTTTTCCATGTGGCTTTTCTGAAGCGGCAATTCTTGAAGAAACCGCCCAATTTTGCGCAAAGCGCTGTTTTATTTCGCTGTTTCATGAAGCGGCGAAAATTGTGTACCACAAGAATGTCCAGGTATATATATATATATATACGAACTCTTGTCATGACCAGTGAACTTGGCAGGGCTTTCGCAATAGTATTGGCCAAGAAACTCGCTGTGCACCTTGCATGAAGGCATTGCAGCAGCGACGATCCTACGCCCTTCAGGAGGCGAGTGATGGCTGATTTGACACTTACCCGAAGCAACTTGTACAACAACCACAGAAGCCACTCACCAGCGAAACGACATCGACTATCAAGACAGGCCAAGGGCTTTTTGCGACCTATCGCCAAAGGCAAAGGCAAGGACCATTGAGGGAGCAGCCAACATTGGCCCATGAGTTGCATTCTTAGCGCGGAACCTGACGGACTGTATAGACTTGTACGCGCAGCCGTTGAACAAGTATTTGCCTTCCAAGAAGGAACCATTGCTTTGATCGGGAATACCGCATGCAAACCTGGCAGCAAAGTCATCTTCTCACTTTGTGAGTAGCAGGCACTCAGCAAGGGTCACGGCATACGGCCGCAGGAAGCGAGCCTTCTGTTGCCACTTGCCACACCTCTTTGATTTGTTTCCCCTTTCCAGGCAGCCGTTTTTTTCTGCCCAGTCGCAAGAGACTGCCTTGGATGTTGGGTGTCCAGTTATCCAGTGTTCTCTCACACAATGGAATCGATGGAAGCCACTGACCGCGGGTGCAACTGGCGCCGGAGTCCAGTGCTTGCCACCTGGCAGTTCTTCAGAGCCACAATCAAAACCGCGGTAGAGGAAGGACAGAACATCCCAATCCCAAATAGACTAAAATAAATGGTGCACCTATCCCAAAATGGTATTATTGGTTTTGAACCATGGCCAAATGGTCCCAACCATTTTTTGGTGCGGCAGTCTTTTTTTTGGTGGACCCGTTTAGTACCAGGTTTGGATAATGACTAAACCTTGGGGGGTGCCCCCGAGCACTAACAGTTAAATAAAGCCATTTATACACAATACCTCAGCAAAAATGACCACCAGCAAGCCCAAAATGATTTTGGGTAAGCACGCCCCACCAATTTTAGGTTGCGTATTTGTTTGGTCTATATGGTGATGCAGTGGAGAGTAGAGTGGTGTCTTTTCATGCCCAGGCCCAAATACGGTTCTGTCCCTACTGGTTTCTAGTGCTGCGCTTTTTGGGGTTGTCACTGGACTGTAGGTGCATTAGCATTTAGGAGACCTAGGAAAAGTTTAAAGCTAATTCAGGAGTCGTAAACATAGACAGAGACATAGACATAGCATAAACATATATCGCAAATAAACATTGGCCTAGACAGCAACTATCACTACCACTTTTCCGCCGTCGCTGCAAATTGAATGCAAGTCGCTAACGCTAACACCAAGTTCTGACATCTTGATCTGACAGAGAGCGAAATCCAAAGCAGGCAGGAAGTGGCGCAGTCAGCGCGGAGCTGGCCGCTTCGCCCAGAAACACGTTGGAACGTCTTGTCTTTCAGCTTCTTCTGTTTGTGGGCCTGGTGGAGGAGCCCAAGGTCCTGAAAGACAGGTTCAGGGCCAGGGGAGCCACTGCCACGTTTGGTTTTGCGACCTAGACAGCTGTTTGCAGGCCAGTCTGCTGGCTGGCAGCCTGCCCGGCCAGGCCAGCTGGCCCCTGGCCCAGCTGGCGCTGGCCGAGCTGGCGCTGACTCCGGCCGGCTCCCGCACTTCTGGCCAATTTCGGCAAATTTTCGGACGGATTTTCCAGAGGAAGGCGTATAACTAGCACAAGAAAAAGCACAAGAAAAAAAACAAAAAAACACAAAAAAAAGCACTGCAAAACCCCAATTACCCTCCAGAGGGACCCCGCTACTACTTTTCATCACCGAGAGCACAAAAAAGCACCGCGAAACCCACAAGAAAAAGCACAAAAAAAGCACAATCGGGAGCACAAAAAAAAGCACCACAAAACCCCAATTACCCCCGCCCGGACTCCGCTACTACTTTTCATCACGGGAAACCGCCAGCGGGAGCACAAAAAAAAGCACCACGGAACCCACAAGAAAAAGCACAAGGGACCACCACAAAACCCCAATTACCACCCGCCCGGACTCCGCTACTACTTTTCATCACGGGAAACCACCAGCGGGGGCACCAAAAAAAACACCACGGAACCCACAAGAAAAAGCACAAAGGACCACCGCAAAACTCCAATTGGAGCACAACAACAAGCACCGGCGGGCCGGTTTTTCAACATTGCTTTGCCTTCAGACCGCGAAATTCAAATTACTTGCCCCAGGACCCCCCTTAGTGCGTTAGTGCGTTAGCGCTCCCCCTCAAAAAAACCGCTAGTGCTCCCCGCGACACTCTTGGAACGAAACAAGGAAGGAAGCACAGACAGAAGGTTGGTGAGAAGGGCAGACGGAGGGGAGGGGGTTGCTGTGGGCTGGATGCTTGCGTGAGAGGTGGGGGGTTTGGGTGAGGGCCGCAGGTAAGAAGGAGGTTTGGGGGGAGGGAGGGCTGGATGGGTGAGGGCAGCTTGGTTGGGGAGGAGGTTGGGAGCGGAGGCTGAGAGAAGGCGGGAGGGGCTGTGAATCGGAAGGCTCTGGCTTACGCTGGGGGGAGGTTGACTGGGAGGGGGTGTTGTGGGAAGCAGCAGCGACCAAGCCAAACAGAAAGGAAGGACGGAAAGGTAATGTTGCAACAGCCACGCCACCCGTCGTGTTGCATGTGCCTATTTAACTTTCCCATTGTATCTGGGCTAATAAGTCATAGTGCAAATAGTCTTTGAATCGCTTTATTTCAAGGTCCCCGGAGCTATCCCCCAAGATGCAGAACGAGTAATTTGGGTTTCAGACCTGCACGGGTACCTACTTTTAAAAAAGAGCAAAGTTGCTTGTTTTTTTGTGGTGCTTCTTTTTGTGCTCCTATTTGCGCTCACTGTTAGTGGTCCGGGGCCACCCCCAAACTAAACCGTTGGTTTGCAGTCGCAGTTGATCCCAAGCATGCACTACCATAACCCAACGACTTGTTGGTTTCTCCAAGCCAGAGTATTCTTGATGCAATTGTTCGCTGATCGCCAATGGTCTCAGGTTCCGTGAGCAAAAACGCCGGCACAAACAATCGGTCGAGGCTCTTAGCGTCTTGGGGTTTTGGTTTCAGCGTTTTGGACCCCTAGGGACGCAAGGCAAATGCAAATGTGTGGGCAGAGATGTCAATTCTCGTGCCAGGAACAAGCGCTCGAGCTCCGTCAGCAAGAGGCCAGCATTGCCATTTGCCACGTTCGCCTTCCTGGTCGCACTTGTGCTCCGCAGCTTGCAACTAGAAACCGCATCGCCATGCAGTGCCAGTAGCAATGAGATGGGGACATGGGGTCTTCTTGATAGGCCAAACGGATGCATACCCAGAGCGCTTGTATTATTCTAGGGGTAGCTTCCCCCTTTCTTTCACTGGATCCTTCTTTCTAGAAAACCACCGGTCAAACCCTGGGTGAAAGGCTGGTTTTTGAAAATGATGGCTGAAAAGATTGGAAAAGGCATCAACCCCTAGAATTACCCTCCCACCAGAAAGGGCCTTTTTGTACAAGGCTCCTTAAAAGAGACATTTTGCCCATTTGAAACATGGCTTTTTTCCTCCAAATTAAAGGGACACCACCATTTACAAGGCAATGTTCAGGTGTTTTCTTGTAAGGATCCCTGTTGTAATTCCATGTTAGTTGGTGGGAGGGTATCTGCGCGCCAGGCGCACGACGCCGCATGCCAAGCGCAGCAACGTCAGCCAGAGGCGCGGGAGCTCGGCCGCTGGCATCCCGCTCTTCCGGAAGCTGAATTCACAGATGGCAGTGTTGCCCGTTTTTTTGCACTCAAAACTGTATGAACATTGTACTTATTTTAACATAGAAACATACATGAAGAGATAAAGACACACACAAACGAAGCAAGCTAAATAACACAATAAATCAAGCAATCAATCAATCAATCAATCAATCAATCAATCAATCAATCAATCAATCAATCAATCAATCAATCAATAAATCAACCAAAAAATAAACAAATAACCAATTAAACAAATTTATCAATACGGAATCAATGAATCATGAAATAACAAAGAAACACACGAACAAACAAACAAACAAACAAACAAACAAACAAACAACCAACCAACCACCCAACCAAGCAAGCAAGCAAGCTAGGAAAAACAAACACACATGCAAGCAAACACTCGAACGAACAAGCAAGCAAACAATCAAACAAACAAACAAACAAACAAACAAACAAACAAACACACACAAACAAACAAACAAGCAACCACACAAACAAACGAGAAAGCAAGCAAACAACAACAATTCGAGAGAGAAAGAAACAGATAGGGCACACTATAATTCTTATACCCCCCTCCCAACTTTGACGGCTCTACTGGTAAACATCCATATACTACCCCAAGCCACCTTGTGCTGCGTTGTGTGGTTTTCTTGCGTTGGACTGAAGGGTTGACCCCCTGTTATGTTGACGCCATCATTCCAAGGGCATTTGGGCTTTAAACTGATGTTGTTTGTTTCAATTTGTTTCTGATTGTAACACAGACATGCACATGTTGTTGCCGCAACGCACTGGCCGGTCACAGCTTTCTCATGCGATTGCAAGTTTTGCCTAGGCGCCTGCACTTGAGCCAGCACTTCAGCGCCAGAATGAGGCCAAAGACGGCGGACATGTGGCGGGCAGACATCGGACTCCAGGGCCCTTAAAGGATGCATGAGGTCCAGTTAACAAAGCATCTTTACCAGCTGATTTGGATTGATGTCGGGCGTATTCTTAAAAAATACTTGTCGTCAATAAAAAGTGGAACGATATTTTTCTTGATTCAATCGTTTACTGGCAACCAACAAGAGTGAGCTCATGTGGCCCACGCGTGCCTCATTGGGCTGGTTTCCCGACGGATCTGTGGGTGGAGGTGGGCAAGATGACCCGAGAAATGCCCTTGGCGGGGCCCTGTTTGGGCCAATCCGCGCTTAGCCGAAGACGTTTTGGGCCAGGGATTCCAACATGTACACCATGATTTCATGGTAGCCATCGTCTAGGTTCTTTTGTGCGCCCAGTTTAGCTCTTGAAGATGACACTGCCTTGCCACAAGTCGTTTGTGATTTTACCATGGTACGCGTGCAAATGGATGTCTACTTCCGAGTGGCAACAGTGTTTATTGAAGTTGTCTGACAGGGGATTCCATGGGCAACTGATGAGGTCACTTGGTTTCATGTGCACCTGTTGCTTTGATGTTTCTTCTGTTTAGGGCACTTGATGGCACAGGTTGCCCTTCAATGGGGGGGGCACTTAATGCTTTTTGCCGCTCCGTTTTGTTTGATTTTGGTGTCCTCGTGGTGTCCTCGCGAGGCCTTTGTGCTGAACCCGCAGCAGGCAGAGGCGTGTTTGGCGAATTGTACATGAGTTTACCTTGCCTGTTGGCAGCTAGAGCTTTAGATCCAAAGTTGACACGGCTTGCGGCTCATGGTTCGCAATCAGAGCGTGTCCAGTCCGAAAAGTTTTCCTGTTAGTTTCTGTGTGTGTGTGCTGTGTGTGGATTGGTGTCAGGAGTTACGGCAACAGCAAGAACGTGCCATAGAGGAGGCGGGTCCAGCCATTTGATGGCAAAGGAGCAGCTGGAGCCTTCTCACCTTAGAAGCTTGGAAGCTCGACTCTGCCCAGCGGATTCCGCCTTTTTCTCTTTTTTTTGGGGTTTTGGGTTCCCCTTTCAACTCAACCAGGGGTAACCAACCAGAAAAGTGTCCCACGCCACTGGGTAATTTGAGTTGATGAGCAAGGCACTCATTGATAGACACACAAGATCACAGGAAACGTCTGTCCCACCCACGGACTTTCCTATACTTTAGCCTTTTTCCCCTCGGGACAGCTAGGTTAGTACAGTACCTTTCAAGTTGGAGACTGCACCGCCAATAATTGGATGGATTCACGTAATTGTGTGTCACACGGCTTTGGAATTTGCGGCTCTAGAATTGGGCTAAACTACTTGAGAAGCTACTTGAGAGTTGGGCAATGCTACTTTTAGAACTGGACAACAAATTTGTTACTTTCGTGCTAGGATTTGACCAGAGAATTTCATGAACCCTGAAGCAAACTGTGAGAAATCCATCGCCTAATCAGCCTTGATTTTGGCGGTAGTAGTACGGGGATAGGCACTTGGGATGGCCTGTGGTTGCTTTTGTTGCTGTTTTTTTCTTGCAAGCAAACGGGAACACCCCAAAAGGGCTGTCCAAAATTTGGGAAGCCCAAAAAGGACAGCAGCCATGCCAGAGGTACCCTCATTTTGAGGCGACACCATTTCGATCGACCTTTTGCAAATGGTTTGTTTTTAGATCGAAGCCTCTGTCGAAACCCGTATAGCAAGAGTCCAGTCTCGCTCTAGATTGGACAAATGTCGTTGCCATCCACTCAAGTCCTTGAAACCGAGCGCAAGGTTCCAGTGATTTTTTTGAAGAGAACCTTCGTGGGCCTTGCAGAATTTCGCAACCCTGGCTTGGCATACCTGCTACTGGTACTTTTGCAAGCCAGATCATGGGGTTACAATGTTTTAAGCCTGGACCACTACCGACATACCTGGCCACGAATGACCATAGATGGCAACTTGAACATGAGCTCGTGCACTTCAGAGCGCACCATAGAATGTTTCATGGTTCCACTGTTGAATCCTTTGGTGAGCTGGCAAGCGAGCATGTAGCTAGGAGTACCTGCAAATACATCGTCCATGCGGCATGCCTTCAAGCAAGTTGGGGGACTTCCCTCGTTCACAGTCAGGGGGAGAGCAGCATGTTTCATGTTTGTCCATCCACGGTAATGTCTATGCCGAGCGAGACACTATTATTTGTTAGGAGCACATCACATCTGAGGAAATTATATGCATACGTATATATATATATTATGCAGATAGATGAAAGTTGTACAGAAATGTGTGCGGTGGTATATCAGCCCTGGAAGAAATTCCACCTTAAAACAATGGTTGGCTTCATGTCACCACCTTTACCGTTCAGGATTGTTATCATCCAAATTGAGTCCCAAGGCCATTCTGTTACTGGGGGCAAGGACCCCTAGGGGAGGGGAACCCTCAAAATGGGATTCCCTTGCCCACACAAGATGACACACCCATGAGAGAATGGGCTTGGTTTTCCCTTTCCCTTTCAACCAACCCGTATCCTTATGCCTGAGGGCCTTCCCATAAAACCCTCAACATGAGTCTCCCTGGGTTTTCCCATCAAAATATTGACATTTACCCAATCAACCGCATGACATATGCCCTGCGTTGACTTTGCCATTCGACCCCGTTGGTGCAGGCCTTGGCCTGGGAACGACAGGCGAGGCGTTGTTTTGCGGATGCCGCAAGAAGCGGACACTGCGACCAAGGAATTGAAAGTAAGAAGTGGAAACTTGGTGGGTAAATATCCCAAGAATGAAAGCTCGTGTTTGCAGTTTTGACAATCTGTTGGGTCTTCAGCTTCCATTCATCCTGCATCCAGACATATTGCTGAACTCATAGCATATTCGTTTGCATAAGTTGCGCAACAAACATCTCAGTTGCGTCATTAGTATTCATACTCATCAATCGAAATATCGGAAAGGCTGCTGGCTTATTTAACAAGGGCTTTGAAAGTTGTGAAGCAATACCTACTGGCTCTACATTGTTTTGGCAAGTCGGGATGCAACATTTAAGGCTTACAAACATCACGATGTGGTGTTTTACAGCAGAGCTAATGTTGTGGTGACCGACGTGTCTCTTACACCAAGGTATATAGCCGAGATTTTACACATATTCCTCCTCCAGAAGATCACACACTGCCCAATATGTTGATGAATGTGTTTTTTCCTGACACAACCACTAAACAATGGGTGGATGTTCAGGGGGCTATCGCACACATATGTACAAATTACGCATGTATAATATATATATATATGTATAGTCTTACCTTTGCATTGAACACAGGCCTAGGCTCTTGTGTTTGTTCTAGAACAACCATATAGAAAGCAAAGCCAATGACAAGCCAATATTGCGTGTTGTGTATCTCATCATTTGCAGTTGGCGCCTTCAGGAGAGAAGCCATTCCTATCCTAATGCTACAGGTCACTTCAACTAGAGTGGTAGCTTCTGGTGGCGCTACTAGGTCCCAGTAGTGCCCTTTTGCCTTTTACCCTCTTTTTGGGGGAGGGTTCCCCTAAATCGACAACAGAAAAAAAATGGTACCCTTATTCTAACCTCTCTACTGGAGGACCTAGACTAACTCTCATCGTGACGCGCTGGCCCAGCCTAGACCCAAAGCCGTGAGGCCCAGGCAAAGCCGCACGGGGAGGCGAGGTGATTTTTTTTCGCGGCATTCGCCAAATTTGAGGCACCAGGCGTGGTCTTGACACGTACCCCAGAAATCTTTCAACACGCTCAAGGCAACTATGGTTTGTGTGTGCGCGCTTGGATTTTGGATGCAGCTTTTTCGAGATCTGTTTTCTGTGTTTGGCGGCTTCTTTTGGAGTGTGCGAGGCCATCAATGCTGGGTAAAATCCGTGGAGCCCGTGATGCAAATTTTCAAGAGCAGGACGTTGTATTCAGGGCGCAGCGGCTCGTTCGCCCCACCGATTTGGCATGGGGAAGTAGGTTACTCTATTGCTTGGAGTTGACAGAGATGCGGCGATGTTATCTTTCAGTGGGAAAACTCAAGGGGTGGTTTGTCTCAATGGTTGAATTATTGCCCTTCTGGCAGCCACTATGCTGACTTTACTGCCGTTGCTTCGGGAAGCTGTCCATTTGCTTTCTGACTTGCGCCGGAAGGCTTTGGACAGGCGTGAACAGGAGGACGAGGCGGGACTTGAGACGAGATGCTGTGGTTGGTTTCTTCCTTGGTGGTTCATTGGATTCATACAAGAGACTTCCGTGCTTTGTAGGGCGTAGAACGTCGTAGATCATGCGCGTGTCAAGATTTGGAAATTGTGTGCAAGTGAGCCAGGATGTGAGCATGTTGCGGTCCCCCACGAAGGTGCCCAGGTACTTGTGTTCACGTGCAGCTTTGCGACTTGTTGAAACTGGTGTCTATGATAGGTGCTACCGTAAGAACTCTCAGCCCAAGTTGCCAAGAGGTAGACCTTGGACAGGGCTGCAATTGTTGGCGCAGGATGAAAGCGGGCCGCAAGAAGACATGGAGGCCAGCGGGGTGCGGATGTGGCCTCCTTTGATTCATTGCGACCGAGCTGGTGGATGACGGGCACGGGGGGTAAAGCCACACAGAAAGGCAAGCTACCTTCCTCAAGTTGCCCCTGGCTTCAGTTTGGCGGGTTAAGGTGCATGATTCGCAGATGTACAAGTACTGCATTATGATGCGGGTGTTGTTGTGTCGATTCATGAGAGCACTTGTTTGTTTTTTTCCGTTTTTGCGAACAAGCTTGTTGTGAAGAAACATGCATGAGGATACTGCAACATAATGAGTGTGTCATTGTGTTGATTCAGCCAATGACTCAGGACGAGCCCGAGAGCGAGGCCGGGGTTTTGAGCGGCCAGTTATCTTCCATTTGCTGCGAGGAGAATGTTTAAAAAAAGGAGGAAACATGGTCCCCTGTTGGTTTGAAAGGGAACGGATTTCACTACTGGAGATATTGTTGTTTTTTAGGGGGCGAAAGAGCAAATGGAAGGTGATCTTCAATACTTTGCACTTTCTGGTTCTATTCTATCGACTGGCTGATGGCTTCGCGCTGAGCACGCACTTCCTGAGTTCCTAGACTTTAGTCACTTTTTGGGTTTGGACAACATGTAGTGGCGAACAACATGTTGTTCGACTTTCTCTGGCCAATCCACTCGTTCGGAAGCGAGAAAATGCTTGTGTTCCCTTGCAGACAGACTTGCCATGTTCGGCTTGAGCTGCAAAGCCTGGCAGGCAGCGCTTTCGCCGGATGAGGCCTGGCGTGCCGCTTTGTGCTTTCAATGGCGGGTAGTCCTCGC